TATACAATTCCTTCGCCTAAACGACTTCATTTCTGGGAGCATCCGATAGACCCTATAGTTATTTCAAAACTTTAACATGGCAACAAATGTATACCTCATGGTCAACCGTGGTTGGAAAGCAACGAAAGTTTCAATGAACTGGATATGGTGACGAAAATGCCACAGAACAACAAGAAAGGTAGCTCAAAAAAGAAAGCAAGCCAAAAATGCCTCTGAGAGCTCCGCAAACATAACGTTTTCCGTCCTTATGAGCGGAAACGGAGATTTATGTAGTTTACATCCTAGAATGCGACTAAAAAGAATTTCACATCAGTTTTTTCCATACCACAAAGCTGAGGCCGCAGTTATAATCACAACTTTAACTTATTATTTACTGCCTACTCTTTTTAGCGGCACAGTATACATTGCGAAATATAACTTGAATGATGCTGAGATATTTGCAAGCTTAACTGGGTTCGTCGCCGATTTGGCCCCCCCCCCAAATCAATCCCGCTAACAGGTGACTGCTGTGGCAAAGATCGATAGAATTAGCTGAGAGACAGGCGAAACGAAGGACCCGCATGGTGTGGTGGTGAACGCGCTACTCCCCGGAAAGGACAATAGCGCGTTTGTTCCCCACCGCATACACCTGCGGTCCGGAGTTTTGCAAATAACTCAGCATCATTCAAGTTATATTTCGCAATATATACCCTGCGGCTAAAAAGAGTAGGCAGTAAATAATAAGTTAAAAATGTGGTTAACGTTCTTCATTAGCGTTTTGCTTGTTTTCTGAACACATTATAAACTTATGACTTGGATCATTGGATGCTCCGTCTTCACTAGTTGTGCTTGTTGTTTAGTTACTGCGGCTGTCCCCTGGTCAGCCTAAGAGCCTTCATGAGGTCGCCACCACCCAAGACAGTCGACGCCTTTGTGGATCAGAAGGAGATTTATCACTATGCGAATAATTTGATAGCAAGACTGCAGATTCTGGTGTTGGTTTACTCCCAGCTGGGCTTATTGATGGAAACGCCGGACTCCTTCTCCACTTGAGGATGAATCCCTCCGCTGTATATTGCAGCCCGACACCCAAGAACACCTCCCAGCCACGATGAGGCGGTCAACCATTGGAAGCTATTTACTTATTACCTAGTCTAACTTTTAGCATGACAAAGTGCCTCCATATCTACCTAATTCGACAGTTAGATGAACCAACCTCAAAAGTTGTGTGCGTTCCAGCACTTTTTCTTGTGTTGCAATCATCAACCGTGGAAGTGATCGAATTTGTCTGCAGATTCGACTACGAACTGAGACCTGCACTCCACTCCTCAGTGACATTTCGCAGACTTATCGAGCGTGATTTTGATTCAAAGCTTATAGAATATATTTATTTATATCTTGATAAACTGATCTGATTGAGCTGATGGGATAGTCAAGCTACCGCTAGTCTTCATCAGCTACTGAGAGAATAGCTACCTTGCGTTTTGCATTTTATGCCAAGACAGAAGAGAATCAAGCCACAACAATAGCAGTAATTATTTAATCACTCAAGAATAACGTATCATATCAAGTCAAACCACCCCATTCGATGTCTCTGAAGACTGTAATTTAGATAATCATATCCTATACCAGCGATTCTGTGAAATGGACAGTGTTCTAACTGCTGATGAGATTAGACAAATCATTCTCATAGTTCATCTATAGCTGACCAAGAGAAAAAAGTCTACGAATAGATGGAGATTCTTATGAGACTTTTGTGTCCAACGTAACTGTCATCTTTTCACGTTCTAGTAAAGGAGAAAAGAAGCTCATACAGCTCATCGAAACACGAGAAAATAATAGACTAGTTCATAAATTGAAAAACATATTACCCATAAAAAATAGATGGGATAGAACACGAATAAAAATGGATATTTGTCGGATTATTGAGATTAAACACATGAATAAATCGTACTGAATAGAAACGACAACGACTCTCGTCAACCAAAAGATGCACAGCATCCTAGGCTAACTCAGAGCTCCTTAATGAAGCGAGAGGTCTATCAACAGACCTCCGGGCCTTCGCTCATTTTTCACATCATGTTCTTCTAAAGTAACGGATAAAAGTGAATTTTCTCAATATCAATGGATACATCACAACTCCATGATGTTACAAATGTCCTGGCTTCGTAATTCACTAGGCCTGGCGACACGATGAGCGCGATAAAGTGTACTTCAGGAAGATGTAAGCGAACTCAACGAAAACCAGGTGTAGATTCATGAGTATAAATCACACCAACTAACTCAACTTTTAAATGGATAAGACTTGTGGACTATTTTTTATAGACGATGTGACAAAACAAACGGATGATGAACTATGATTCGTAAAAACAACAGAATTACTCAAATTAACGAAGAAAAAGTACACGCGTTAGACGCGAGAAATTTGGAACGGATGGTATCTTTAATGATGAAGTGGATATTGCAAAGAGCAAAGGTTTCGGCATTGATCAATCATTGATGAGCCATGCATTCTACATCATTATTCATCGCTGGAGGTGACTGAATGCACATTTACCCGATGCAATAGTTTGCGGTGGCTCACCTGTGCATCAAGTCAGTGCTGCTATCCACAGAGACAAATCCAGTATCCATCTGCCGACGCCATATGGATGGAAAGTTTAGTGAGCCCGGGGAGTGAGATCAAACCAAGCACCACGTGGCTGTGGCAGAGCACCTCTAATCATTGCGCTACACGCGCCCATATGACGAAGAATAAGAACTGACTTACAATTAGGAATAGCTCAAAAAATGTGACGGAGAAACTATGACCTATAGCCTACCATAGTATCGAAGAATCAGAGGTAAGGCAACGACTAAAAACGCTCTGGAATACGCATGTGGTCGTTGGTTTGAATCTGTGCTCTAAGTAAATCAACCTTTCCACCCTTCCGATGTCGGCAAATTGGTACCAGACTTACTCTAGAGTTTAAAAACATTGCCCTGATAGATCGGTAAGCATCACACGTAGTTGTGTACAGCAACTAAGTACAGAGATTATTATTTTCATTGGACTATTCACATAACATGAAACATTATTAAAGTTTATGCTAAGTGTATCTAAAAGATGTAACAATACCAAAAGTGTTTCCAAAAACCTCACCTTGTAAAATTGCTCTAGTTGGAAAAGATGAATACAAGTTATCATTTGGTTTGTTGAATAACTTCGAAGAAGATATCTTAAATAACGAAGAGATTTTTGCAGACGATCGACAGGGTGCAGCTGAAATGATAACGACGAGGTATTATAGTGTTAGAGTGTACAAGTATAAGGATAAGCAAACTAGAGTACCTCCGGTGCGTTCCTCCTTTTAGTCAAAGGCGAACAAGTGGAGGAATAAATCTCAGTTTCCAGTATACTCAGTCCTTAAGCATTTTGTTGATTAGAATATATTTTACATGTATTTTTACATGTATGCATGCATATTTGACCGACAAGGAAATAATCGAGTTTCAAATATTTCTTCACCCTTTGCATTTAATCATCTTCCAATGAAGATTTCATCTTAAAAATTAAGCATTTCCACAATTGCAAAGTGTCACCAACACGAAAGTATCTACCATTACTTTCTACTTACTTGGATACTTGGACAGCCCGTCCTCACTGGTTGTGCAGGCCCCGCATCTCCATTTTCCATTATTCTCTCCATTTCTTCCATTTTCCTCCATCTCCATTTCTCGGAGTTGTGTTAGTTTAACGATGGTGTTTCGCTTGAAGTGCTGAGGTCAGCCTGGCCAAAGTCCGGCTCAGGTTGTCACCAGCCCAGGCAGTCGCCGTCCTTTGGAATCAGAGGGAAATTTGCTGCCATGCGACTAGTTTGATACCAAGACGGTGGTGGCCCCCAATATAAGTTCACTCTTTGCTGAACTTTTTTGTGGAAATTCTAGACTCCATCTCAGATTGGGAGACCGTGCCGGGGGATGAATACTCCGCTGTACATCGCAGCCCGACACCCAGGAACACCTCTAACCCAAGGCGGGGCAGCAAACCATTGGAAGGGCTACCATAACTTTTCACTGGTCTGAATAGTATACTGATACGAGATGAAAGATAATGACAATTACATGAAAGAAGAAATACCGGAATTGATGATTTCGAATAAGTGCTCTATTCTCCATTGTGCTGTGGCCTCTAGATACGGTTCTAGCACGCAATCGTCCACTACTTTTTCGTTTAATAACGAAAGCACAGACTGAGTGATACCATCCATACATGACGAAGGAAGTAAACTTCCTATTAACATTGTCGGGCCGATCAGTGATGTACTCTAAACGATAAATTTCAAGAAACTATGATTTACCGGAAAATGATTTTTGAAAAACGCACTCTGAAACACTGGAACAACTTTTTGAAAACTTTAGTTTCTAGGTTATCCAATTTTTGTTTCTCCAGAGCATATTTCGATTCCATAAGGACCTAAAACTTGATAAATGATCGTTTGAAAATAATTCTTATCCCTATCTAACAAAATCACCCACCTTTCGCATACTCATCCACATTACGACAACGCATTCCAAAAACACTTTATTACGCTTCCATACCTGATTGTTCTCGTCTAAACGATGAAATAAACAACTAAGTTGTCATAAAGCATCCCATTAAATCCCATCTAGTTAACCTGGAACTGCAATCTCCTGGGTTGGGTCGCTGAGCGTACCAACTGTGTCATCTAACTGTGCGGTACCGTCCATAGTTGGGTCTTCTGACATACCTTTTGAGAAACTGCGATAAACTAGGATTGTCATGAACTGGATATGCTCTACTGAAATAATTACGCAAAACCATATAGCTTTTAATAAAAGACTAGCTCACATAAAGAACCAAAACTGTTTAGTATTAGCGTTATGAGACAATACGATCTTAGCAATCAGAAGTCAAAGTTGGGCCAACATACCCGCATCCTTCACGGTAACAAGGCCAAGCGTAAACACTAGTCTGTGAAAGGTGAGAGCGCAGATTCGACCATGTTTAATGAGAAACGCTATGCGTCGCATTCTTTCATTCTGGTCTGCACGTCCACGATCCGGAAAGAATGACTAAAAACGGAGAGTAGTGCCGTAAATTCCTCTAACAAATCAAACAAATACTTACATACTTTAAAAATAACGGGAACAATTTCTCGTCGCACGCTCTCAGAAGTTTCCACTTGCAAACGTGCTAAGATCTCTTCCATTGGCACCACATTGTAAAACTGAAGAAAAGAATTCTCAGAAGAACCACTTTGAAAAGATTCCACTGCAGTCCAAATGTTAACATCAAGACTAAGGTCTTAAGCAAATTACGCTTTCCAAATCAATTGCTACAGCTTATAGGGGAAATGTAAGGGCTTATGGCAGCAATAAGTCTCACAAAAGAAAAACAAAACAGTTATCTTCATTATAAAACATATCGTTGTTCACCTTGCAGACTGAAAAGCAATTACCCTAATATATCGATGTCCCTTCAGCATGTTCAACATTTGGAAAGCGGCCACTCGTACACGTTCATTCTTGTCATTAATTCCATTCAGTGTTATGCATTTGAGCGCATGTTCAGTGGCATTTAAGCAAGCTGGAACGGTGATGAGATAACGCATCCCCTAAAGTTCTTCATTGGTTCGGGCTCAATCCTAGCACTTATTTACCGTTATTAGGCAAAAGACGTTATAAAAAAGCCTTTTTACCAATTTATTCTCATATTAGTGTTTACGGACACATTCAAAAAACAAATGAAAATAGAAGTCACAACGTTCACTTTCTACTTACTGCTTTTTACAAGTTTTTACGGCAGGGCATTATTTGTGAAACAACTACAATGATGCTGACATATTTGCAAAACTCCGGACCGCAGGTGTCTGCGGTGGGGAACGAACGCGCTATCGTCCTTTCCCGGGACTAACGCGTTCACTAGAACCAGCCGAGAGACAGGTGAAACGAAGAACCCGCATGGTGTGGTGGTGAACGCGTTACTCCCCGGAAAATACAATAACGCGTTCGCTCCCCACCGCAGATACCTGCGGTCCGGAGTTTTGAAAATATCTCAGTATCATTGTAGTTGTTTCACAAAGAAAATGAAAGTGTTCACGTGAGTGATTTTAAGCTTCTAAAACTTTTCTTTATTCATCTGGAAACGTCCAACAGAGTTATTTTGAAATTATATCACAACATAAAAACACGTACTTCATAAACCGCCAACCTTACACTAACGACGGTATCACGCGACAATGTATCTACTATCTGAAAAACAACTCATAACAATGAAAAGAGATAAAAGCATCTAAACAGCCTTACAAAGAGGAAACAAAAGATGAAGGATAAAAGATAAAGCTCTCGGCGTTGATCAATTTCTGACGGATGCGCCATGCATTCGACTTCTCGACTCCTTTAAACATCGCTAGAAGTAATTGAATGCATATCTGGCATTGACAATGACTCGCTGTGGTCTACCGGTGTATCGAGCCAATGCTGCTATTTTATCAGGCAAGTCTGGTAGCTACCTGCCGACCCCAAAGGGATAGAAGGCATGGTGAGGTGCGGGGATCGATCCCATGTGTATTGGAAGGCACCTCGAACCACTGCGCTACACGCGAAGCATAACAGTACAAAAGAATGCAAAAAAGTTAAAACCATACATATGTCATATACTGTTTGATGAAATCTCGTGGTACAAAATTCCAAAACATGCCAAGGATTTTGAGTACCTAAAATCAAATAAATAAAATAAGTACTTAGGTGGAAGGATGAAACACATTTACCTTCTTAGCTGCAATCGTTCTTATAGCTGTACAGTTATCTTTCAACATACTCATCATGGTTGTGTGCTGCTTGTAAAGACATTCCGATCGCGCCTGGAATATACGGTACACCTTGGGCAAGCGTAAGATAATTAATTAATAATTATATGGCTGCATTGAATCATTAAGAAAACTTTCAGTAACAACTATAAGTGTAAAATATACATGCACAGAAGACGAAAAGCCTACAAAATCATCATCATCAATGAGTGGATAGAATCCGAGTAAGATTGATGAAGCAGCGTAGCGAACGTAGTCATTACAAGACTAAAAAAATTAGATAAAGCTTCATTGAAAAACGCAAAATAAACGTAGGTACTTGCTTCGAGACCGATCCAAAGCATAGATTCGAAGCATCTAACGAGAGTTCCATCTGCTTTCGCTTTGTTCACATTTGGTCCAGAAAACGCGGATAAAATCTGAAAGGGAATTTTATATCATTTGAAAATAAGGGTGTATCACTTATTCCTAAATTCTCACATGCAAGAACTTCTTTGAAATACTCATAGGCATCAGGACAGCTGCGTGAACTGTACCCGTAATCATTTCAGTCTCAATTTCCTTCAACAATTCGTTGTCTTCCTCCTTTATAGCCATCAGCCAGCTATTGTACACGACCTGACCAAGATGGTTACAAGTTGCACTGAAAAACAAAACACTGTACGGGTAATTTGTCCAACAAGCACGTATCAATATACTTTATATTACAACAATGAGAAGATCTAGTCTAATCTAGACTTCCTCCCAACGGTCTATCGGCTCATCGTGGCTGGAAGTTGTTTCTGGGCGTCGGGCTGCGATGTACAATGGGATGTAAAATTTCCCCTGCAGGGTCTCTCAAGCTGAGGAGTCTGGCGTTTTCACCAGGAAGTCATAGCTATCAGTAAACCAATACCGGAATCCACCACCGTCCTTGTAACAAACTAGTCGCATGGTGGCAAATCTCCCTCTGATCCAAAAGGGTGCGACTGCCTGTGGTGATGAAGACCTGGGGCAGACTTTGGCTAGGCTGACCTCAGGACTCCAAGGCGCCACAAGCAGTGAGGACGGGCCATCCAAGTACCCACGTAAGTAGTCTAGACTTAGACTTAACAAAAACTCAATAGGAACGAAATAAGTCGAGATAAACAACGAACACTGAGGCATCATTGAGCACCATCTTCTTCATAAGCAGGAATGACGATCGGATTCCAATTTTCCTAACAGAGTACGCACAAAAGCGTATACCTGTACGAAAAGAGAAACATTTGCGAAGCATAACCATAAAAATACCCCGTAAATGTAAAATTGTTAAAAAGAAAGATGGAACTATTGATTTTTCATAGACTCTCCAACGGTACTACACAGGTTACCCTCTAAACACTTAAGCTTACCCTCTAAACAATTAAGAAACGACGGTTCCCAAAGAGCATGACGTAAGACATTGATGTCACATTTCTCCACCACTTCCTCATGATCAGACCATAGTTGCTTGATAAGGGATTTCTTGAACAGATACTCGTTAAATTTATCAAATGCAATTGTTCTCATCGAACAAAATAGACAGACCCAACCAGATCAACGGAAAGGAAAAGCAAAGCCACAGAAAACAGCGCTAATTCATATTCACCTGCCCTTTCTCATTACGACAAGCCTTCTCCACTAAGGATGGATAGTCACCAAGGAAATACTCAAGTTTTGCATCGCTGCTCTTTCTCTCCGTTTCTTCGACATCCAATTCGGGAATATTCTTCCTGCGACTACTTATCCGAATAACTTTCCTCTTTGATTCCTGAACAATGTAAGATTAGGCGATAAACAAGTAGAATCAGATGGTGATAATTGCTATTTCAAGCTGGCAAATTTGAAAGAAGCCATACACATCGTTCGGCAGTTTGACATGTTGAACGAGTCTTTTCCTCATCCACATCTTCTATCAATGTTTCGAGATGAGGTAAAGTGCTTCTTTTATGTTTCCTTGAACATCTCATCATTAGAGTATCTGAAATACTCAGTAATACTGCCGCTCAAAATATAGGAAGATCACTGTGAAAAATGACATTATAACCAGATAATAGTCAAGTGAAACAGCTCACATGCCCATTTCAGCTCCAATTTTTAACCTAAGAGAAGTAAAAACAGAAATCGTTAAGAAACACGAACACAAAAGAGGGCCACGATGTTATTTCGAACTGGAGTCGGAATTGGATTCGAACCTACGCCCTTCGCGGCAATATCGATTAGGACAGTGTTTTATCCACGGCGCAGGAAATAAACAGCTCTTTCTACAAACTTCGATTATCGATTAGTACTCCGTGTAGTAGTTTGGTTAACTCCTAAATTACCTTAAATAATGAATATAGTGAACCCTGTACTCCTCTTCATTTTATTTATAGGTTCTATTCCAGTAGTCCAGGTAATGTTTTCTACAAGAATCGAGCCGTACTGGAGGAATTGGATACCTTCTCAAGTAATCGGTAACTTTTTATTTGCTGCCTTTTATTTTTTCATGGCTGTGTATTACGTGAAATACAACCACAACGTTACTTAGATATTTAGAGGAATCAAACACGAAACCAGTCAACCCTCCACAAAAAAAACAAATCCGCGACTCTCGGAAGCTCACTGGTTACCCGCATGAATCTGGCCTGTTTTGGGGTCTGAGTTTTGCAAATATCTCAGCATTATTGTGGTAGTCTTTCTCAGATATTTTCCTGGATGATTAAGCTAACAAATAGTTGCTACGAAAAGTATCGTGGCTAACGTCTCCGTTTTCCTCAGATCCGTGTTGTTCATTGAAGTGGATTGCCTACAGATTTTCGTCTTCGCTATGTGGGTCTTCGTTGTAGTAGGAACTCAACTCTCGGCGTTGACCAATCCCCGATGGATACGTCATGAATTAAACTTCATTAAGCATCGTTAAGGTGAATAGGTGCACATTTGGCCTATACAGTGGCTTGCGCCAGCCTATTCGATCAAGTCAGTGTTTTTACCTTTCCAGACAGGTCTGACCCAATTTACCCACCGAGGAAGTATGCAATATTTAGTCAGTTAGGGTATGAGATCGAACTGCTGACCATATATGTTTTGCGTACACCTCTAACCATTGCTACCAAACCATTTCTTTGTTGTACCAAGTTCAGTATTCTGGATTGAAATACCATAATGAAGTATCCTCACTCATAGGTTTATAACTCACATAAGCCTAATCGTTTAAGAAAGTATTGATTGTTCATGCAGAGGTTAAGCAAATCGGTTTTACTTCCTAGGATACTTGGATGGCCACTTCTCACTTATGCCGAGCGAGCCCAACAATAGGAAGGTAGTAATTTCATAAAATTTTTTTGTTTTACGTTTACACTGACTTCCAATAAGTGTACAATACGATTTGGCAACGAATTTCGATAGAATAGAAAACGACGGCCACATATTTAAGCCACTTAACGACTTTTTAGACTGGCATTTTCAAATGCGGCTAGAAATTTATCTCTAGCTCTCTATCTCTCTTTCTTTAGCTCTAGCTAGCTTGTGCTTGAGGTGCGTGCAACGCAGTGGTCGGAGGCGCCTTGCAATACACACATGGGATAGATCCGCGCCCGCTTGACCCACCATGCCTTCCATCCCTCCGAGCTCGGCAAATTGGTGCAAGACTTGTCTGAGAGGATAGCAGCACCGACTGGATACATAGGTAGGTCACTGCGAGTCATTGTACGGGCCAGATATGCATTTAGTCACCTTCAACGATACTTAATGAAGTCGAATGAATGGCGAGTCTTTTAGGGATGGATCAACGCCGAGAGCTTTATCCTTCGTTCCTTATCCTTATCAAGCTTCAGGTAACAGTTTCACCATCGAGGTTTTATGCAGTGGAGAGTGCGAACATTTCAGTCACCCAAAAGTTTGTGCACATCTTCACGGAACGATAGAATGATCGTTACTGAGACGTAGTCCACACTTAATACACAAAAGCGGGTGAGCGTGAAATCCAGATGTTAAGATGCTTGTCTTATCGAAAGAGGGTACCTACAAGATGGAAGAACAGATCTGAGGCTTATGTAAACCAATTTATCCTCGCTACGAAATAAGAAGTTTATGGATTGAATGTCAGTGCACTGAATTAACTATAAGAAGTATGTTTAGTCGAATGGTGTGTGTAACCTTGATGCACGGAACAAATCACCCATAGGCGGTGGTCTTGATTGAACACAGTGAAGAAAAGTTGTACTACGACTTGCGGAACCTCTTTAAGGGAAACAACGGCTAATTGACGACAGTAAACGGACAGCACCAGTATGGGAGCATCCTCTAGCACGATTCGCAGGTGGTTCGAAAGTAGTTCATATCGATAAGGTGCGTTTGCAGTTAGAAACGATTTGCTTAACGGATGATGATGACGACTTCGTGAGGAAAGATTACGTGGAGTTTCTTAGAACTATGAGCACTTACGAAGATTTATCATAGAGGATCCTGACTAGGTAAACAGATACTTTCCCTCGTTTTCTTCCTCCTATTGCTTCTCTCCAGAGAGCTTGGGTAAAGAAAGATCATTTTAAGGATGGCTTCAGGATTGTTCTTCAAGTATGTATGATATTATTCAAGTAGTTGATGGTAATCATCATTCAGACTATGCCGATTTTCACGTATTTTGGGAGCTGAGTAATTCGATACTATTTACGCTTTTTAGTCTTTTGTGTTCTGTATATTTCACAGTACACATCACATCTGCGAGTGTAGCGCAGTAGTTGGAGGCGCAATGAAGTACACATGGGATCGATCCTCGCGCCCAGGCCCACAAAGTCTTACATCCCTCCGCATTCGGCAAATTAGTACCAAACTTGTTTGGAAGGATAGCAGCACTGCCTCGATACATCGGTGGGCCATCGCGAGTCATTATATTGGCCGTGTATGCATTCAATCACCTCTGCGATGCCGAATGCAGCTAAAATCACAGTACGATCTTAACGATCATAAGATCAACGCAGAAAACGCTGTACTCTCTCCGTTTTTATGCAAAATTTTATGGGAATGTCAATCTATAGAATGGAATTAAACCATGAGCTTCAGTATAGTACACAACTTTCTCTGTTCATCTCCACATCACATCATTCTTTGTCGACTACTCAATTCCTGTGAAATATCAATTAGTTAGAATAAGTACTAGTTCAAAAATTTAGTTTTCACGTTGTGAGAGCGACGTTTTGGTTTTTAACAGTTTTCGAGACCACTTCCACAGCAGTTGACGTTGTGACTTCATAAGGAATCGTTCATACTATCCATTTAAGTGGTATGTTTCTTCTTTGTTGAGCCTTCTTGTATAGGCATGAATAACTCATGCCAGGATCTTCTCGTGTTCACCACAAAAAATTGTCGATGATCTTGGATTAGAAGTTTCTCCACGCTACGGCTAGGTTTCTTTCTGGATTACGCTATTCCTGGTGTTGTTTACATGTAATCTGAGATTCCATTGGAAGTGTAAAGCTTATCAACTTAAGTGATCCTGCTAAGAGTACAACTCCGTACATCGAAATTACAGCGTGGAACAAAGAAAGAACATCCATCGGCAACAATTAAGCGGTTAACCATTACCGGTGTGGAATGGAGTGCCCTCTAAGAATTCTTTGACACCGTTTTATATAATTAGATCGCTGATCAGAAAATATGTTTAAAGGATTCTTGTTGCAATATCATTTCCAGCCTTTTTTTTTGTTCAGCCAGTTCTTTGCATATTTTGTTTATTTCATCGGAAGATAGTGGAGAAGGAACGGTATGGGCAAAATTTAGAAATATTTTAAAAACTAGTGGAATTGCTTGCCAGTTCAGATGAAGAATCCATTACTCGATGATTGCCAAGTTCCGAAGAAAACCATTTGATAGTCCGTAGGTTCGGCCAAAGAAGCAGCGTTTTCTTTCGATGATCTTCAAAATTCCGTCGTTTACTGACTTACAAATGGACCACACTGCGTGTGACAATACCTCTATGGATTCTGTTACCGCTTGATAAATGGAGTCTGCTTGATTAATAAGGATTAGTAATGCGTCCGACGCCCCGGTTCGACACCGCATATAGAGAATTCCTCAATCAGAGAATTCTCTGTCTGCATAACTAATACAGTCCACGGATCGATGGAGACCGCGTAGCTGCAACGCCGCGCGCGTCCTCTGGGTCCATAACCCGTTCTGGCCATGGGACGCACCCAGTAGTCCCGCCATTTGACCCAATGAAGCCGTGGAGACTGTCCTCGCCAGCTCCATCATTAATTCCATCCCGTTTGATTTCACCTTGCAGATTCATTTGCTTAGGTCATAATGACAGTATATGTAACCCTTAGCCCTTGAATCGCTGACACATTAATGTTATCGCTGGTTTTCGTGTAATCACGTTGTGCGTGTCAACATAAGTTAAATACGTTCATTCCTCACAGGTACGTCACAAACGGTTCATTGTTCTTGCGCTCTCTCGCGAACACCTTTCACGTCTTTGAGCTGTGAGCCGTTACATTGGTGTGTTGACCAAGTCGACTCGAACCCAAAGGCCAATCGATTCAAACTTCAAGGAGCAAGAAACGCTCATCGAAACGAACCAAACCTCAACACGGGAATCTACTTACAAGTACGTTACATTAATTCTCAAAAGGAAAAACAATGGCAACGATCCTGTCCGCTCGCCAAGGACAATTTAAAAAAGCGATCAATCGCCTCGTATCCACCTTAAATAGCTATCAGAATGAAATAGACACGCCAGTAGACCTTCCGTCCGAACAAACTAGCAGAATCGAGTACATTACTGGACGACAAAGGAAGATAGAACACGCAAAATCGGCCATTGAACATGAACGAGACAGCGTCCAGACCGCGTTGGATGCTTATGCCATGATGGCAGACCAACTCCAGGAAAACCCCAATACGCAAGCAAAAGACGAGCTGCAACGCACTGCCAATAAGAACGTAGAAAAAACAGTTGAGCACCTCGACGAGGCGGAACGCTGCCTCTCTAAGCTCGTCGACTTAGGAAAAACGTTGGAAGACACCGAGACATACCCACCAAGGGACTCAAATGTCCATCCACCTCTGACGAATCTACCACCGATCCCTATTCCGAAATTCAACGGAGACATAAGGGAGTGGGAAGCATTTTGGAGAGCATTCAATTACAATGTGCACTCCCGCCGGATGGACGACTTCCAAAAAATGACTTACTTGCTGGACGCCCTTCAGGGAGAAGCAAGAGAATGCATCAAACAGTATCAAGTATCGCAAAGTACTTATCCGATAGTAATACAACATCTGAAAGAAAAGTACGACAACAAACAAGCTCTCGTCCGTGATTTGTTACGTAGACTACGTACAATAGAAGCAAAAACTGAACGCCTCGAAGACCAGGAAAAATCGTGTGAAACCCTTCATTCTATAGTTGTTCAACTGCAACAAAAAGGGGAATTCATCAATACCCTGCTCCTACAGCAACTACTGTTAGAGAAATTCACAAAAGAGATTCAAAGGCATGCTCGGCAAAAAAGACGACAGAGAGCAGAAGAGGCACGAACATGCGAACTACTAAAGGATGTCAAAGACGACATAAGAGAGGAACTAGAACCACGGGACCGAGAGCAGGAAAAGCCCACGTTAAGAACGGAACACATAAATCAGCCAGAAAGGACGTTCAAAACTACACGATATACATGCTTCTACTGCAACAAACGAGGCCACTCACCAAACGTTTGTGAGGTGATAAGAACTCAACAAGAAAGAGTACAAATTATTAAAACTCGCAACCTCTGTTACAATTGCGGTTCATCGTCGCATCGGCTGCCCGAATGTAAAGCGGGCCCGTGCCGAAATTGCAATAAACACGGACACCACACGTCCATTTGTAGGTATCAGTACGGACCGACTGAATACAAGCTGAGAAAAGGAGGAAACACTACAAGTGACAGAACAAAGGCACCTTCGAAATTACCAAATACTATTCCAAGGGAGAAGCCAAGTTCATCAAAAATCAATACGGTAACTTCTGATGAGACACAGCCGGAGGATACCGTCGTTCTTCATACTAGGAGAGAACTCGCACCCAACAGTCAAATTTTAGCAGGACAGGCGGAAGTATTCAATCCCAGCAAAACGAGACGAGAATTAACGGAGGTGATCCTCGATACAGGATCTGACCGTTCGTTCATTTCTAATGCGCCGGCCAATGCACCAATGTAACGGCTCACAGCTCAAGGATGTGAGGGGCGTTCGCGAGAGTGCGCAAGAACTATGAACCGTTTGTGAGGTACCTGTGAGCAATGAACGTATTTAACTTATGTTAACGCGGATAACATAAATACACGAAAACCAACGATAACATTAATGTGTCAGCGATTCAAGGGCTAAGGATTACATATACTATCATTATGACCTAAGCAAATGAATCTGCAAGGTAAAATCAAAATCAAACGGTGTGGAATTAATGGTGGAGCTGACGGTCTCCACGGCGTCATTGGGTCAAATGGCGGTACTACTGGGTGTGTCCCATAGCCAGAACGGGATATGGACGCAGAGGACGCGCGCGGCGTTGCAGCTACGCGGTCTCCATCGATCCGTGGACTGTATTAGTTATGCAGATAGAGGATTCTCTATCTGATTGGGGAATTCTCCTCTATACCGCACCGGGTTCGGAAAATAGGTACCAAACTTGTCTAGTAGAAAGAACTTACTCTGATCATAAACACTAATGAATCTCAACGTTAACAGTGGTTGCATTTCAATCATACTCTGCCATGAAGAATAATAATAGACAGTAAATAAATAAAACAAGACCAAATATGCATTCTTCCGAATGACACCTAATGAAATCGAATGCATGGCGCATCCGCCAGCGATTGATCAACGCCGAAAACTTTATCCTTTTTATCCTTTTATCCTATTTTTTATTGAATTTGGCAAAAGATACCTATAGGAAGCTTGTTACTGTCACTGTCACTGCTTGGCTCTACTGTCAATAATAGTAAATGTGACTTAACCGTTAGCTTCTCAAGGCAAGTACGTGGCTTCTAGTAACAGATGCTCTATATGTGCTATTTGGTAAAATGTGTACACTTCATTAGATTATAAGTAAAGCTGTTTGTTTACAAAAACTCTTGCATATTTATATAATTATAACTCTCAATTCAAACTATAAACTTAAGCTACTACTTCAATGTGTTGCCATTAAGCATCGCTGTGATCTCCGTGGTCGTACGTCCTTTTGTTTCGGGCAAATGGCTGAAAATATCTTCCGTCTTCTATGTACTATAACGACAGTGATACCACATTGTGATTGTACGGTTCAAACTGTAGGAATTTCTTCCTGAGACTGAGAATTTATGAGTTGAAGTGAGTGGTGTTAAGAAATCTTGAATTCCAACAATGAAGAACCAATAGTATCTTTTATTTTTTTTATTTTATTTGACTTCACGTTTCGTCTTCACGTCTACTGTGCTGATCCCAGCGCTTCCCACATTCAATTTGTTTCCTCGCGTCTACTGTCCACGAAGATCTAGCTTTTACGTGTGACTTCGGATGCTGCTTGAGGATTTTCATTTCATCTTGAATGTCCTAGAACGTTGGTTGAACAGCTCTCCCTGGAATCCGGAGATAGCCGGGCTGAGCGTTCCGAATTGGGTTGCAGAGAGTGATTTTTTTCCAGACAAGTCCAGTACCAATTTCTCGACCCCGGAGGGATGAGTGGTTTGATTGGCCCAGAGCGGAATCGAGCTAGCACCGTTTGTGATGACGGGCATCATTACCACTTTGCCATCCGGCTCCTAAAATTTTTTAATGTGAGGATATTTACAAAACGGAACTCACCGATGAAAATAGAAAGCGGCTAAGGTGAGCGGAATAATGAATACAAGAAATGACAACGCTCCAATTGACGAATGTAACGGGTAGTAGACAATCGGGGAAAAAAAGCACGACACATATCTAAATATATTACTTTGGTAAAAGAAAAAATCGTCAAGCATACATAAGTGGTCTGGAAGAATTTCCGAAAGAAAAAATATCAATCTGATCCCCACGTCAAGACTAAACTTTAAAAATCACATGAAAACAACATTCTGATAGAAACTTTTGAAGAACATCCATTATTACTGGCATTTGGAAAAACGCTGGAACGCAGGTTTTTGCAAAACTAACTGTGCAGCAACACTCATGAATTGCATTCGAGCCCGACATCCAGCTGGCGCCAATTCAGCGCCAAGAAACCAGGCAGTTGGACCGATGCCGACACTGAAAGTACTACCTAGAGAGGGAAAAGCTTTATTCGTTGATATAATATATCTCCCTATTCCTTAGGGAAGTACTATACATTCGACTGCTTTAGTGGAATTGTTGAAATGACTGGTTACATATCTGGCCTATGTGAGGACTTCCCGGGCTCTATAGATGTATCGTATCAGTTCCTGTCCTCTTAAGCCATTTTGGTATCAGTTTGCTGACCTGGGAAGGATGAAGGGCTTGGTGAGCGTGCGGTGCGGAATTATACTAGGGACCAATTTAATGCGTACTCTGTGAACTGTGTGCTGACTTCTCTAACCATTACAAACAGCGACCTATGCAATACTACTTACTGCACTCCCGATGAATCTGAAAGCTTTACTTTTCGTTTCCTATATATTTTTCTATCCATGGTATTGAGTTAATTGTCGATTTTTGTTACATTGGTTTCGCAGTATATTCCCTATGAACCTTCGTCATTTAACGATATTTTGTGTCCTATAGAAACACACGAATATATTAGTTAGGTAGTGCTCTGCTCTAGATGATGCGTCCATTCTGACTGGTAGGTAAGATCGTTACCGTATCTTCCTAACTATCGTTCTATTGCTTAGTGTGTTGTAGAAAGCTTTTATGGAAACTTTTATATCATAAATATCGAAAACCTTACGTTGAACGCAATCAGATGACCGTAAAAGTTCTGGAAGGATTCTGCTATACAGTATAAATTTCCTTCACGTGACTTGACATCACGTGTATGCCACTGTGCAGGTTTCATCACTTCTTTCATTCGATTCACTTCCTTGAAGCCACAGTACACTGAGACCTTCGAACTATTCTGGCATCATTTGTAAATGCCGTTAAATGATGATTGAGCCGATCCTCCCTGGAATCCTGAAACAGCCGTGCTAGGGCATTTCCTCCTGAATTGGATGCAGTCAGCCGATCTCCGACGAGTTTGGCAGGAGTTCTCTATCCCAGGAGAGACGACGTGCTTGGCGACCACGGACTGCTGTCGAGCCAGTGCTCTGCTCGTAAAGAGTGGTATTACTACCACTACACGCCTCCTACCTTGTGTATCGTAAACAGCACAGAAAATAAAGAACAGAGCTTACCTAAAAAGAAATAAAAAGGCGATGAATAGTAGCAAGAAACACCATCCAATCCACGATTGTTTGGTTGCATCAAAACAATAGACGAGGATCATCATTAAAGTATTCACCCCTGCCAAAAGCAGCAACGAACCCAACACTAATGCACGGCGACCAATCTGAAGTAAGCATTAATGAAATCAGTAATAATGAAGTCTAAACCATTTCACACGTAAAGAGCAAAAATGATTACAATGGCAGTTCAGTAAAAAACATGAATGGTAAGAGAGTGCTAACTTACCCGATCTATAGCGAATGTACTCACAGTGGCACCCAACGTACCAGAAAGACCGGATAAACAATTAGCCAATGGTGCTGAGTGTTCAGTAAAACCGATCGATTGCAATAGAAATGTACCAAAGAACGAAACAGCCAAAATACCACTGAAATGACAACGATCTGTCTAAAATAGTTCGTAGTATTCGGAAAGAATTTTGAACACACTATTGGCACAAATCACATTTCCCTTTTGTGTGGAACCACTTTTCGCGGTTCTTTAATCTCTACTGTACGTGGCGCGTCCCTAGGTGGCGGAGAGGTGGTTAATCGCGGACCAAAAGCGACCTTTGCTTCCCTTAGACGCGGGTGGATCCAGGGGATGGATTCCGTGTTTCTGCTGTACCGATTTGGCCCATATTTTCTGTATTTGGTAGGCGTACTCATGCATGCGTGTGTGGGTATATGGGAGGCGGCTATGAGTCTCCTCCAACAAATAAGCTCCATGTCCACTCTGGGAGAGCCTGGTAAGCTACCCCTGAGTATACCCAGCCTCCACGTTTAGAGCCCAGCAAGCTATGCATGGGTATCAAAAAGGCTAAAAACAGTGAAAAAAACGGGCTTCATCCCCCAAGCCCCCATTTCGGCAGCGTTGGGTAGGAGTACGGAGAGGCCGCTAAAATTTCAGAGCCAGTGGAAGCTGTCTGGATCACTAAGAACTAAGATGAGGATTTGCACCTACAATGCACGCACACTTGCATCAGAGTCCTCGATAGAACAAGGGTAAGGTAGGACGTCATCGGGATGGGCAAGACAAGATGACACCACCCATTCAACGCTTTCTACGACACCAAAGAAGAACTGTTCCTCAGAACATCCCACACTAGAGTAGTCGAGGGCGCCGGCGTTCTCGTCAACACGAGTTTGTCCATGAGCATCTATTCATTCGAACAGCTTACCATCCGAATCGGTCGTTTGCGATTAAAAAGATGTGGATCAACACCGGCTTTGGCAATCTTCGTTGTTTACGCGACGACATCAAACTATGACGAAGAAGAAGTCGAAGCGTTCTATACGGGCATGGAGAAGTTACAGAGAACACCATACATTCTTCAAGGTCGTCATTGGAGATTTCAACGCCAAGATTGGACCAAGAAGAACGTCTGAAGAACGTCACATTGGAACCCACGGATTAGAATGGAACGAACAGCCTGAGCGGCTGTCTGAGTTTATCATGGCGACCAAGACAATCCATAGTAACTCGCAATTCCAGAAGCCCCACTCTCAGAGCTGGACGTGGGAGTCTCCCAATGGAGAGCACCATAACGAAATAGACATCATAGTAAATAGAAGGATTTGCATAATCGATGTTGCTGTTGTTCCAAAATTCTACACGGAATTAGACCACCGTCCCTCGTCCAAGACTCTATTTCTCCAGGAAAGGAGAAAAAGCCGCTAAATTCAAAAACCGAAGTCCCAGAACCACCGAAAACTGAGACTTATTCAATTCATTAGTCGGCTGTTGGGAAGATGCCGTTGTCGATAATATCGACGAAGAATACGGTCGGCTCATTGAACATCTTCACGTTAACGCTATGAGAGCTGAGAGTTCCAAAGTCCCCATGAGTCCCGTCTGTCTCCAGAAGCACGAGCTGATACGCCAACGTGGAATCGCATGAGCTGCAGGCAACAGCGAACCAACGTCCGAACATGCAAAACAAAGCACACAGGCGATAAAAGAGGACCTTAAAGAGGGAAGAGCAGCTGTAATGGTCGAAGGTGCAAAGGCTGCGAAAAGCATTCGCAAAGACCACCGAAGCTTCGCCAATTACAAAACCAAGATGACTGCACTCCGATGCCCCAGACGGAACAGCTACATCGTTCAGAAGGGCAGTGGACTAAATCATTCACGAATAGTACTCAGATCTCTTCGATAGTCATGTCCACATTTTGTCATATGAAATAAAGGAGGATGGATATGTTGTACCACTCGTTCTCCCTTCCGAAATCCCACATGCCATTTCGTCGGTGAAAAATCGAACAGCACCGGGTCCGAACAGGACAAGACCAAAGCACCTAAAGAATCTTCCGCCAATCCTCGTAAACACACTGGCTCGGCTCTTCACACGTTACCTATCTGAATGCAAGGTCCCTACTCAGTGGAAGACCAACAAGACCGTGCTATTGTTCAAGAAAGGTGATCTACACGATATCGGCAGCTATCGCCCAATCTGCTTGCTATCTGTCGTATACAAACTTCTCACTCGAGTCATCCTAAACAGGATTGAGAGAACACTGGACGAAGAACAGCCATGTGAACAAGCAGGGTCTCGAAAAGGATTTAGTACGATGGACTACATCCACGCGATAACAAGGCTCATTGAAGTATCGCGAGAGTACGAAAGACTGCTCTGTCTCAGTTTCATCGATTTACGGAATGCCTTTGATTCAGTTGAGATAGAAGCAGTCTTGGAAGCCCTTGATAGTCAAGGAGTCGCTACTCAGTATATAAAGATTTTTCGTGAGCTATACAAAAATTTCACAACCAAGATATCACCACTCTACAACGATATTAACATTAATATCAAAAGCGGTGTTAGACAAGGCGATACCATTTCGCCAAAATTATTTACCGCTACCTTCCAGAACGTCATGCGAACATTGAAATGAGATAATATGGGATTGAAAATCGATGATCGGCAGTTATACCATCTTCGCTTTGCTGATGACATCGTCCTTAAACACCAAACAGCCAAGCGGAACGTATGCTTGCCGACTTTGATAAAGCCTGTGGAAAGATTAGTCTTCGACTAAATCTCACAAAAACGATGTTCGTGAAGAACAGATTGGTTTCGCATGCCCTATTCACGCTCAACGGAACGAATATCTCTGAATGCTCCAGTTATGTCTCCCTAGCTCAGGAAATCAATATAATGAATGACTTAGCTCCAGAGCTGAGCAGAAGGAAACGAGTGGCCGGGGTAGCTATCAAGAGCATCGAGGATGTAGTGAAGAGAACAAAGAACACCCGACTCCATGTCCACCTTTTCGACTAAACGGTACTTCCTGCCCTAACGTATGCGTCAGAAACCTGGTCGCTGCGTAAGCAGGGTGAAAGATCACTCAGCATTATCGAACGCGCAGTCGTGAGGACGATGCTGGGAGTATCCCGTTCCACACAAGTAAGGGATGGGATCCGAAGCTCCGACCAGCGTCAACGATCAAAAATTAGAGATGCCGTTCTGTACGCAAAACAGTCGAAGATAAGATGGGCTGGACACATAATGCGTATGAATGACAACCGATGGACAAGAGCCGTTAGTGGCTGGATTCCTCGGGATGTCCAACGTACTGCAGGAAGACCACCGACCCGATAGACCACCAGAGTTCTTCACAAAGAGCCTTGAAGAAAGATATGATGCATGACGTGTCCCTAGAGCGAGCAGAACCCACTGAGCTACTCTTGCACGCGACAGGGAAAAGTGGAAGATTTACTGGCGCCCGCTCGAGTCACTCGACAATCAATGGGACTACAGGACGGTGGGACAGGTGGCAGGTGAAGGTGGTGTTGACGGTGAAAGCAAAGCCAAAAGAACAGCAAGATTTTACTGAAGGAAATTTCCACTTGATTTCTACCCAAAGGAAATTAAGAACCACAGAAAGGGGTCCGTTTCAATAATGCGGCATTGGACCAGTGCGTTAAGGAATGTTATCACTGACAAAGAGGTGAAACAATGCTCATTAACGTTGTATTGGAGAAATGCGAATCGGTTACTAGGTAATCCTTGAGAAGAGCTGTTTCTTGATTGACTATTGTCCCATCATTGGTTTACAACCTTACATCACTTATCATTAAAAAATATAAAGAATAAACCTCTTGACTTTGATAATTCCTTGAGGAATGCGCCATGCATTCGACTTCATTACGCATCGTTTGGAGGTGACTGAATACATATCTGGCTTTTACAATTACTCGCGGTCGCCTACCGATGTATCGAGCCAGTGCTGCTATCCTCGCAGACAAGTCTGGTAGCAATTTGCCGACCCCGGAGGGATGGAAAGCTTGGTGGGCCATGGGCATGGGATCAATTACACGTGTTTGTTGCAGGGCGCCTCTGACCATTACGCCACACGCGCCCTCATTTATCATCACATTCTTATAAACGACGATCTTCAAGAATCGATTAGTTGATAGTGAGGATGTTATACTATGTACACTGGACTTGCTCTAGTCTTTAATTCTACTAAAAACCTCTTTTAAATAGATTTCTCCACATTTCTACAGATTGCAGCTTATCCTGGTTTCGAAAAAATGGCTCTTTTTTCCTTCTCTTGAATCGAAAATAGTACAACCGATAACAAAGAAATACAAAATATAACTGTACGATCTAAAGTAAACACAGGAATTTAGTGTTTAGAATATGCTCGTCCACATTGAGAGAATCTCAGTCAATTGGTTGCCATGCTACGTGTGGTGTGTCCTGGTTTCAAATAAGGATTGAAAGCCCAGTGAGAGCTTGCCCGTCGGGTTCGATTCTAATCGATTCTTGGATTGCCTGAAAGACAGACGGACCCTGGATATGAACTACCTGTCATTGAGAAGAAAAACACGTGAGAGCGCCAATACCTTCTGTATGTATCGTTATGCATCAGGGTATATTTACTTGTTTTTATGAGAATTACATCTTGATTTCGCCCAACACGCATGCAGTCAATTAACTTGAAAAGGTTGAGTTCATTCATGAGGTAAAAAAGCTTTAACAAAGAAATAAGCTCCATTTTTCTTCGGACAACACGGAAAGTCAGATGAGTACACAAAATCCGCGTGACATAAATCTTTCAACAGAATAGACCCATCTTCACACATGCAGATTGCAGAAGTTTTTTTTTATTTGGTCGTTTTTTGGTATCCGTTACCCCCGATGGTCTCATTTGGGCGTGTTCGGATGGATTTTGGATTCTTCATGAACGCCGCTAAATGGTGGTCGAATTGGTTCTTCCTGGAATTTTGGGCTAGCACTACCAAGGGTATCCAATCATTCCTTATTCATGTAGACTTTGTTCCATAGAAATGTTGGCCAATGTGGTATGAATCCTGCGATAACAACGTCGTATTTACTTCGTATTTTTGTTGAGCAAACGCGAGGTGTTACTATTCTTTGTTCACGATTAAGCTGATGTTTCGGCGGATTTCGCCTTCCTCAGAGCCGCTTCCTATGAGGTCTCCACTAAGTATGTCACGTAGAGACCAACCGCACAGAAATCACGTGGAAGTATAATTATACTATATATATATTAATATAATTATATAATTAATTATATATATAATAATATATAATTATATAATAATTTAATAATATAATTATTATAATTATTAATTATTAATTATTAATTATTATTATAATTATTATAATTATAATTATTATTATTATTAATTATAATAATAATAATAATAATAATAATCATTATTATTATTATTATTATTAATTATTAATTATTATAATTATTATTATAATTATTATAATTATTATTATTAATTTTATAATTTAATTATATATATAATTATACTATTTATTATATTAAAGTATAGTATATACTTTCATTATACTTCCACGTGATTTCTGTGCGGTTGGTCTCTACGTGACATACTTAGTGGAGACCTCATAGAAAGCGGCTCTGAGGAAGGCGAAATCCGCCGAAACGTCAGCTTAATCGTGAACAAAGAATAGTAACACCTCGCGTTTGCTCAACAAAAATACGGAGAAAATCACTTGATCAATGCCGAGGTTAATAGAAAGTCGGTCGTGGCAGTTACTGCAAGATGTACCAGCAAAATACTTCCGACTTGTAAAAGAAACGTCGTATTTACTTGTCACTGAGACGTTACAGCGTTTCGAGGTGCTCATCACAAGCAGATGCAGGACTTTGTAGATTTAAACAAAGCTTTTCGAGAAAAGTATGCTACCAGTTTCTCAAATTTGTACGGTTTGTAGAGTTTGTTGGTTGGGATTGAACCAAAGACCATGCGTGTGTTAGACATCAACTGCAACCATTGTCTTCTCGCAATTCAATTAGTAAACGGGTAAATATAAATTTTAACACGCATGGGCAACTAACGATGAAGAGAATTGGTATCTAATATGTTTATTTAGTGGGCACTACACAAATGCATTATTTGGACCAATTTTTATTGGTGAACTACCCACTTGAATATTTGGATGGTTCGTTTTCAACATTTGCTAGGTCGGCCACTGTGGTTTTCTGGAATCCCGAAGCCAGCCTGGCCACATGCTTTGCTTTCTCAGGTCGTCACCACCACAGCCAGTCGCAGCTTTTGTGGATCAGAGGAAGAGTTTCCATCACGTGACTTGTTTGCAACCAGCACGGTGGTGATTCTTGGTTCTCATTTGTTCCTAGCTGGATTGACTCCCTCTCTCCTAACGGAAACGAATTGGTGAATTATTGCCAGGAAAAAACTGTAAATATCTAGACACCTAGCGAACCCGTCATCAAACGTTGTGAGCGTCTCAGTAGTTTATTTATTCTTCTCGCTGTGTAGGAATCACCACCCATGAACCTAGTAGGATTTCTGCGTGGGTTCGACTGCTAGTTGACGAATTGAGGACTTCTTTTCTCATGTCGTTGAATGCTCGTTAGGCAAGATTTTTCGTGGTGTTGCGAGGTAACCCTGATAGGACGTTTCTAAGCTTTCACCAGAAGTAATTGCTTGAAAGTGCAGATCGGAGACGCTTTACTAGTGCAATTCTTCTACAACGGTAAAAAATCCTGCGACGGACCCTTCAAGGACAACGTAAAAGAAGTTGAGCCCAAGATTTGTAATATCTTGAAAACAAAAACAAAAGGAATAGAGTTAACGAAGTTAGTGTAGGTAAAATCATCTAGCAAAGTGTGTCGTTGGCAAGTTCAAAACTTGCCCCCATGCATGAGGACATTTGTTAGAAAATAGTAAGTGGAGGAAAAATAGAATGCATCCAGTACAGATGGGAAAACTCGTCCATTTCGATGACAATATCATAGGCATTAGAAAGTTGCTACAGTAAATTGAACGTTTCAAGTGGTACACACAGTTGAAATCCAAACAAACCTAAAGGACACGACGACGTTGAGTGTTACGGAGAGCATTAATGCGCGACGAGCTGTTCTAAAACAGAGTTCCTTAAAGATACCAAGAAATCTACATTTGTGAGATCTTCCCACTTCATTAATTCTATAAATATATAAACGAACAAATATAAAGGGGTGTTACTTTATTCTTTACTGACGGAAAACCTGACGTTCCGGAGGATTTCGCCCTCCTCAGAGCCTAGAAAGGTCAATCTGACACCACTCTACCCAGCCAAAAGTCAGCTTGTTCTTGAATATAGAATAAAACAACGCTTCGTGTTTGCTCAAGAAGAAAAAAGAGAATTATATGATCAATGCCAAGGTTAGTAGAAAGTCGGTCGTGAGAAATATAAGGAGGTTTTGCATGCACTAGAGATGGGAATGTAAAACTTCGAAAATAGTAAAATACGAACACTTTGGACAGGGACTAAAGTTTTTCAACACGTCGTGGTAGACATTCTTCGAAGAAGACGGGAATGGCGACACTTTGGCAGGAAAAAAATTTCTAGCAACCTCTTGTTTTTTTAATAACTCAAGAACTTAATGCTTGTTTCGTTTATCTTAGAATCAAACACTGTATCGAATATGAAAACTCACTAGCAGTAAGGGCGTCGTGCTGGAAATCATAAAAAAATACTTTCAGGTGGTTTATCAAAGGAAAATGAACAGATAAACATGCATCATTCATGAGCGCTAAGAGCTAACTAATTTGCGAAATCCGATTTTCTTACTTACCATTCTGGTACAATGTAGTAAATACCTTCTGCCCTACTGGGACGTGGCCTACTACACTAAACATGGTGTGGTCGGAACCAGTAACTTCAATATTTGCCTAGTTATGATGCGGTTTTGCAAAAACCTCCTTTAGAGTCCTAAGACACCTGTAACAAATCCATGTCGTCGTTGCAGGAGGTTGGTGAACCTTGTAAGGCAAAGGGAAATTTCTTATGTTTTGGTTAGCTTTCTTCCGGGATGATTGCGATTCTTGGCAACTTTGGCTTATCTTTAGCAGCACTTAAAGAGAGAAATGTCTAGATCCTTATCTCTTTGGGAGAATTCGCTAAGGAAATAAATCTAGATAAACCCATCGCTTTCCATTGTTGTTCGGTATCCAAGAAGAACCCTCAGTTGTGATGAAGCAGAACGCCATAAGAAACGGATTGAAAAAAATAAAAAATACAGCAAATATGATACAAAGCGTGATCCATTCATCTCTCATATTGTCGTCAATATGCCCAAAAATATAAAAGCAGTATGAAAATATCCAGCAAGAAAAGATGAAACGCACACCATACCCTACTCCTTGCTTTAGGATACAGATAAACAAAGGATAAAGCTCTCAGCGTTGATCAATCCCTGAGGGTTGCCCCATGCATTTGATTTCATTAAGCATCGTTTGGAGGTGATTAAATGCACATTTGACCTTTACACTGACTCGCGGTGGCGTACCGATGTATCGAGCCAGTGCTGCAATCCTCCCAGACAAGTCTGGTAGCAATTTGCCGACCCCGGAGGGATGGAAGACTTAGTGGGCCAGAGGCGCGGGGATCGATCCCATGTGTGTTGCAGAACGCCTCCGACCACACTCGTCCTTTTTTACTTTAGAATGAAGAACATTCAACATCAATTGACAGATATCTTATTGCGTTGATTAGCTAGCACAAAGCTATTATAAAACGTCATTGCAATTGATATTTTGGTGATCTACGAAAAAATACGGTAATGATAGTAAAATACTTGATACTTGAACGGCCCGTCCTCATTGGTTGTGCGGGCCCCAGCATAATCACTATTTTTCGGAGATTGCTGGTTGAACCATTGTGGCTCCCTGGAATCCCGATGTCAGCCTGGCCAAAGTCTGCTCCAGGTCTCCACCACCAGAGGCAGTCGCCCTTGTGGTTCAGCAAGAGATTTACCACCATGCGACTTTGATACTAGGACGGTGGTGGATCCTGGTAATGGTTTACTCATAGCTAGGATTTCTGATGGAAACGCCGGACTCCTTCTCAGCTTGGGAGACCCTGCCGGGGAGACGAATCACCCCGCTGTACATCGCAGTCCGACACCCAGGAACACCTCCCAGCCACGATGAGGCAGTAAACCGTTGGGAGGAATGATAGTAAAATAGTGAAAACAAAAAGATAAAGCAGTAAAGAGAACACTGGAATACTTGTTTACCTGTCCCATACAATATCGATATTTGTGTTGTAGGTTTTCACTTCGTCCATTACCCGTTCCATTTCATAACGACCAGCATCCGGCCCACAATAGGCGACCAATGATTGATGTGACAACGTTTCATTGCCGCTGCGTAAAAGAAACACCGGACTGTCGCGGAACCAGACGACGTTCATCACGATCAGGATCTGTTACCAGGATCTTCCTTTAGCGTACAAAACGAAAAAAATGCAAATCAACGATCACATTTGCTAATAATTAATAGTATTATATATTATAAGAAATCCTCCCAGTGGTTTCCGCTTGGTCGCGGTCAGGACATGTTCGTGGGCGTCGGGCTGCGACGTGCAGCGAGAAGGTCCTACAGCAAGGCCTTCCAAACTGAGAAGGAGTCCTACGTTTCCATCAGGAAGCCTAGCTAAGAGTGAACAAATACCACGATGTCGGAGTTTCGCTGGTATAGGGGATTACAGTTCCCTGGAGTCCTGAGGTCAGCCAGGCCAAAGTCTGCCCTAGGCCGTCACCATCACTTTCAGTCACCGCCTGCGGATCAGAGAGATTTGCCACTATGTGAGCAGTTTGATACTAGGACGGTGGTGCATCCTGGTATTGGTTTACTCTTAGCTGGCCTCCCGACCTGATGGAAACGTCGTACTCCTTGTCAATTTGGGAGACCTTGGCGGGGGATGAATCACCCAGCTGTGTATCGCAGCCCGAGACAGCCAGGAACACCTCCCAACCACGATTAGGCGATAAGCCATTGGGAGGTGTGCATTACTTTACAAATAAATAAATACGATGATACACTATACATATGTGAGAGCGGTGAGTGAGTAACGAAGCTGTTTCACAACTAATGCCATTGAAAATTACGTGTCCTGTCTTTTTTTTTTGGTGTTGAGGTTATGGAGGTGTTTGGCTGATTAGGTTGCGACCGACTCGACCTCTCCAGGCTCTAAAAAGGTCGAATCCGCCTAAATGTCAGTTGTTGTGAATAAGTAATATTATAGAGAACTTCTCTCTTGAAAAGTTCTCTATCTATCTAAATAACAGTATTTGAAACCCAAATACGGCCGCCTCGCTGTCGCACATCAAACACCGCAATGTAACCTTTGTAATCTTCTCGATCAATTATGTACAGTGTTTCAGGCACAATAGCGATTCAGGTTCGACTTCAGTAACATAGCGACGATGGCTTATTCGAAGGAGGCGTAACAGTGGAACACTTTACTACTTCCTCGCGAAACCACGAAGCTAATGACGTTTGATATTTCAGGCAGTTAGGTACAGTCTATTGCGGTCCAGGATCAACAATCCAGATTAACCGCGGTTGCATACGCTCGCGGCTCCCGCAGCCGATATAAGCCAGGTGCCTTCGACGGTGGAGACATGCCATCACTCACCTTACCCCCGATCGGTAGCGCGGATAATCCGCACATCACAACCACATCCTCAATCATCCTCAATCACCTCAACTCATTCTTAGTCATAGTCATTCATTCTTATTCAATCACACTCATACACACACACATTCATCTTTCAGTAATCAGCAGATTATTTTATCTTGTCTCTCAGCTGGTCTACGGTGCGATGTCAGTAGTGGCGGGGGNCCCCGATCGGTAGCGCGGATAATCCGCTCCTCACAACCACATCCTCAATCATCCTCAATCACCTCAACTCATTCTTAGTCATAGTCATTCATTCTTATTCAATCACACTCATTCACACATTCACATTCATCTTTCAGTAATCAGCAGATTATTTTATCTTGTCTCTCAGCTGGTCTACGGTGCGATGTCAGTAGTGGCGGGTGTTACCAAATGCGTTCTGTTTGCAACGCCATCGGTGGCATGTACCATTCCTCACACAATGTACACGCAATGTGTACAATGCCGCTAAGCGGCCAACTTATGCTATGTATTCTGCTAAGCCGCTGTAGGCTTATCAGTTTTGTAGCCATTTATCATACTGGCCCTTGATCCTTAGGCAATGGTGGCACCTATCGATGCTCAAAGTTCACGTTGCTGACATAGCGTTATTCACGACCAGCCGCCTGACTGTGTTCCGTAGATGACTCATCATTCACTGTCCACAGCTCCGTCAACGCTCATGTAACTTACAGTCCTCATCGATCAACTAAAATGCTCCTCATCGCTATAATGTTGAAATCTTAGCTTGGCCGAAACACAGGCAGTCCGTAACCCTCACCACCTCAGCATACTGTCTCCATCTTCGCGGCATACAGTCTCCTCCCTCCGCCTCCAGCATACTGTCTCCCTCATCCGCCGCGCCGGCCGCGAATGGACGCGGCGCGGCATCGCTTACGGCTAAGCAAAGGCTACTTCGTTGTAATCTCATTATTATTGTTAATATTGTGTTAATGGTATAATAATGTTTGAATGCCATTGCCTCATTGTTTAGCCTCACTTCACTACAGGCCTTAGCACCTCAAAGCTCTAACTTGTGTCATTCCTCTACCATTACTTCTCTATCGTTACTATCATGTTATTAGTGTTGTATTTATGTATTAAAGGTTTAATTACCCAAGTTTGAGGTTGGTAGATCAATCACTACGACTAAAACACCCGCGTGGCTAATATTCTACATCAATCTGAACCGCTACACTTCGCCGCTAACCATTTCGTTACAAATATACAGAAAGAATCCCGTGTGTGCTAATCAAGAAAATAGCGAGTTACGAAATACATCCTTGCAATACATGGATACATTGGCGACCAGTCCTAATAAGAAATACAGCCCTCAGCACACTTCCATTCATTTATTTTCCGCACCATCATAGTCAGCGGTGGTGGCAGATTTCACATATGGTGGCTACATTAAATGTGTGGCTCGGTTGCTAAGACGTTGTTCTTAACATAGTCCGGACCATGATAAGTTGGTGATGGTCACCACAGACGATGCGAATTGAGCTCAATGCAGTCCACAATGAGGAAAACCTAGATGTTGTCCATAGGATAACATCGAAAGTCAGATGTTAATATACGCACCGATATGCTGAAATAGCTGACCAAATGTGGCAGCAAAAAACTCTGAAAAGTTTCTAATGTGACTGGCATATCACTTTTTTTACAGTACTCCGTATCCCACCGAATGATTTAGCGCATCATTAGGCTTCAAGAGAGTGGGTTGTTCTTAGATATTGGGCTGTGAATTACAGGATGAAGTTCGTCTTCAGATACTTTCATCGAAGTCAAAAAGGAATTCGAGATTTTCATTGGAAAGCTTTGCGGGAAAATCTGACGAGATACCTCTGATCACCAAGGACATCAAAAATGAGGAAAAAAAATAGAAATGAAACGCTCATATTTCGCAGCTCCGTATGAAACCTTGACCAAAGATAAAATATATTTCAACTCTTATAGTTCAATAAAAGATAACTGTTCAAATCACTGGATCATCCCCTTGATCCTAGCTCACTAAGCTAAGAGTAGTTGAAAATATAACCATGAGAAAATTTAAGACCATAGTAAATGAAAGTAACTGAATTTATCCTTTAAGTTGATTTCATTGTTCGCAAATTAGAGCCTTTTCTCTATCAAAGCCTTAATAAAGCCACTTAGATATAGCAAAGATAATGACGGAAAATGTTGAGGAAATTGAATGAAATATGTGTCTTAGAAGGGCACCTGTGGCGCAGTGGTTGGAGGCACCATTGCGACACGCACATGGAATCGATCCCAGAGCCCATGGCTCACCAAGCCTTCCATCCCTCCGGGGTCCACAAATTGGTACCAGACTGGTCTGGGAGGATCGCAGCACTGGCTCGGTACATCGGTAGGCCACCACGAGTCATTGTAAAGGCCAGATATGCATCGAATCACCACCAACGATGCTTGATGAAACCGAATGCATGGCGCATCCCTCAGGGATTGATCAAGGCCGAGACTTTTATCCTTTTATCCTTTATGTGTCCTAGGCGTGATGATAGCTTCCAGCCAGATTTCAGGATTCGTGTATCCTGATAAAAGGAGAGAACTCCTGTTCTCATAATGTTTGCCGTTATTTTTATACATGCAGTGTAGTTTTTTGGAGAATAATTTAGATTTATGCGGATAAAAGGATAAAGGCTAAAGCTCTCGGCTTTGATCAATCCATGAGGGTTGCGCCATGCATTCGGCTTCATTAAGCATCGTTGGTGGTGATTCAATGCATATCTGGCCTTTACAATGATTCGTGGTGGCCTACCGATGTACCGAGCCAGTGCTGCGATCCTCCCAGACAAGTCTGGTACCAATTTGTGGACCCCGGAAGGCTTGGTGGGCCATGGGAGCGGGGTCGATTTCACATGTGTGTTGTAGGGCGCCTCTGACTACACGCGCCCTATGTACGTATATAACCATGTTTTCTAACAGCTTGTCCGAATTTTCATATTTTTAACCACTATTGAAAACTTGTACCAGAGTTATGAAGAATTGTGACACTTACTAAACAGGGTACGCTCTCAATGTAGAATGCATACGGCCATGATGTCTTTTTTCCAAAAGCATCTGGAAGCCCTAAGGCACTGGCGAAAATGAAACCGATATTCGTCGCAAAACCACCAAACGAACTGATTACACCGCGAAATGCAACTGAAATCGATTTCATCATGTCACCTGGACTGCTACGACAACTTATGATATACAGTGGAATGAAGAAAGTAACTGCAGGAATGATGGAATGATATAGGATAAATTCGTAGTTGAAAATAAGGAGAACACTGGTCGAGTCTTCATCATCTTGGGATGGTGACAGCTAAACGATACTTCGAATCCGATTTTCCTTAAATTTCGATGTGACTAATAAACGTATTCTTCCGTTGAAAATCTCACATGAGGTCGATAAACAACTTTATTCGGCTAACGTTTCGACGTCTTCGACCTTTCCAGACCCGATGATGCGAGTGTATGCCCACAGAAAGAGGCTGAGAAAGAAGAAAACGTCGAAATGATGACAGAACAAAATTGTTTATCAATCTCGTGTAAGCTTTCTTATCAATGAAAAAATCCAAGCTAAACTATAGCCGCAAAGGTTACCAGGCAGACTCAATAAATCTCATAAAGATTCTTTTCATTTATGCACAGTGTTACTTCGTTGTCACCCTGTCTGGAATATCACCCAAGCTATTTGCGAGTAAATACCGTATCCTAGGTAACCTGGTCGATGGTGGATATAGACTAAACGCGACTATATACTTTCCTTAAGACAGAAGTGGATTCATAGTATAGCCTTCCTGCGTTCATTAATAAGTCAGATGACTAGACTAAGAATTATATAGAAGATGGTTCGAGGTTGTCAGGCACAAGCGAACTTTACATCTAGTTTGGGAAGCAGTAGGCTCCCCGTAGGTAAACTCAGTCAGTTTAGCAAAGCAAAGCGACTTAACTGTGGTTATCCTTTTGTCAAAACAATAAAACAGCGTCTTATGTTAAAGCCATTTCCGTAATGTTTTTATTCTTCGCAGAGCGTACGCTGCTTCCTGGAGGCCGTCGCGTTTGATGGACATGAATGATGATTTTGTTGACGTGTGCTCACCTCACTCGATGATTAACTGTCTTTTTTTTGAAGAAAATGAATATTGACAAATGGAAAAACCTCAATAGCTCTTGGAGCAAAAATTTCACCTGGACTGATTTCCGCTAAAAGGACGCCTTGAGCAGTTGTTCCCATGCCGACTCCAATTCCTGAGAATAGTCGAGAGATCATAAACAACTCTGGTGACGCCATTAAGTGCGAGAACCCAGCTAACGGTGTAGAGAACATAAGCACCTAGAATGAAAAGAGAGCTGCTGTACAATTCCTATTCTAATTCCCATTTTTTTCATTCCCAACTATCACAACGACGCTGAGATTTGCTGCGTTTTGTAACACTTTGATTTCAGCATTATTTTGTTATTTCATTTTATATGACCCGTCTTCATGTTTACCGTGCCGATCCCAGCACCTCTCACATTGAATTCGTTTCCTCGCATCTATCATCCACGAGGATCTTCTAACTTTACGTACTCTACGCGTGCCTTCGGTTGCTACTTGAGGATTTTCATTTAATCTTGAATGTCGTAGAATGCTGGTTGAGCAATTCTCCCTGGAGTTTTGAGATAGCCGGGCTGCAGCATTCCCAGTTGGAATGCAGAGAGTGGTTTTTTTCCCAAACAAGTCCGGTACCAATTCCCCGATCCCAGAGGGGGAGAAGCTTGGTTGGTCCGGAGCAGAATCGAGCTAGCACCATGATCGTGATGACGAGCTTCACTACAACTGTGCTATCCGCCCTCTTATTTCAGTAATAACGAAAATTGTGTGATTTGCCGAAAAGTTGTGTGTTTGAGAAAGACTTTTAGGAAAGAAAGATTCCAAAATTTACTCTCAAGCTTCAAGCGCATGAGTCACTATAAACTCTGTCTATAATTGCAAATTCCACATTATCCTCACAAGGACGAATTTCATTGGCAACAGGTTTTTTCGTTCTACTCATGTTGTTTGCAGAAACCACTTTACTGCACAATAATTTGTTACTGTTGTTTTCTTTTAAGTTAAAGAGAAGACAGTAAATGCCAGCTGATGGTGCACATTTAGTCTTCTGGAAAATTTTTTGCGAAAACCTATATCTCACCATAAAAGGATAAAGTATGAAACTCTCGGCGTCGATCAATCCCTTAGTGATGCGCCATGCAATCGACTTCATTAACCATCGTTTGGAGGTGATTGAATGCATATCTGATTTTTATAATGTTCACCACTTGCGATGGTTTACCGATATATCGAACCAATGGTGTTATGCTCTCAGAGAAATCTGGTACCAATTTGCCAACCCCGGAGGGATGAAGGGCTTGGTGGGCCATGGGCGCGGTGTTCGATCCCACTTGTGTTGCAGGGCGCCTTCGACCACATTGCTAGACGTGCCCATATCTCACCATAGCTCACTAAGATGTTCCAACGTGGTCTCTATGAGGAAGACGAATAAACGCCTTGATATTTACCTTAGTTCCTAGATTTCCACAATGTTTAACATTTATTTACTGTCTATTCTTTTTTTCATGGCAGGGTATTTAGTGACATACAAGGGTGCTGATATATGAGCAAAAGTCGTGACATCAGGTGTGCTTCGAACCAGTGATTATCCTTTCCGTGAGCTCACGTGTTACCCACTGCACTACTAAGCCCTTGCTTTGCCCCTCTCTCAACCAGTTTTCTACCTTACGTGACATTAGCAATCACCCGTTAACTGTGATGATCTGGGGAGCAGAAATCAGCATTGAACCCAGTTAAGCTGAGATTCGGGGATAAGCTGGTCTGGAAACTGTGTTTTGCAGATGTCTCTGCATCATTTTCGTATTATTTATCAACTACTTTTTCGTTTGAGTGAAAAAATGGCTGAGAGAGTGGAGGAGTAGTTGCCTTGGTTGGTGCGGTGGATAGCACGTGAGCCCCGGAAAGGGAAGTCGAGGGATCGAAGCTCACCTTAGGTTCCGAGTTTCGTTAATGTCTTAAGTTTTCGTCAAATCATTCTTATACTGTATTGCCTCTACACATTCATTACTAGAACTTAGTTCAATGGCACTGTTCAATTCTTCACTTTCTGAAAAGGCATAATTAGAGGTCAGACGAAGAAGCTTACCAATGCCGAGCACAGAATTCCATGCTTTGGTCCATGAACTTCTATGATCTTTGACATAATATAAGCTCCAAATGCGGCACCAAGAAAGAGTGAGCCAGCAATCGTTGACCATAACAACTTTAGTTCAGATTCTGTCAAAACAACGGAGTATCGCCTGGAAATAATGCTTTGTAATTTCGGTGAGAATTATCTTCATTTACTCACATTCAAAGCAACATGTAGTTTTTTAGAGAATATTCTTCAATGTTTCATAGCTAGTGTATAATAGTACATGGGCACAGCGAAAAAAGTAGCATCGAATCATCACCAAGAAGATCAAGTGCCCATTTGAACAAGACATACCTAACTAGTGGATGTCCTACTTCACGTGTTTCCAAGAAATGACAGAAGCTAAGCTTCATGTGAACATCCGCTCACGTCTAACAAGCACGGTTTGTCCACTCAGCTCGAGTTACACTCTTACTCGTGGACAGTTTACTTGGAGAAGACACTCGGCTTCCCAAGACCAGTTTTTTATATGTATTAAGCTTTTCAGCCGTAGTTATGAAAGTGTTTCACTGAGTACACTATGTGGCGAATGAATCTCTCCAGACTCTGAAAAAGAGGAAACTGCCGGAACGTCAGCCAGCGTTGTACTGAACAAATCTTGCCGTTAGCAACACTCGACTTCGCTTATGTCATCAGAGACCGTCAACTCGGCTCGACGAATGTTCACAAACTAAGGTCTTTTTAAACACCTCACACTCAAAAATTACGAGTTCTTCGTTCGTCACAGCACTTGTGAGTATTCTCTACTATTTTAGCGGCAGAGAACTTGCTCCTCTACGTGGACAGAGTGCGCCACGATAACCATATATCTAGCAGTATGATCATAGGGTTTAACAGAAACGCGATCAGCAATCCGATGCTCAGCGGCTTCTGGGAATCTCAGCGGTTGATCCTATATGAGTTTTTGGAGCTGAGCAAGACGTAAAGCTCATTGGGAACCTTCGGAATCTCGCAATGCTATGAAGATAAAACGATCGACGCTTTCTTGTCTAATAACAACGGTAATAGGATTAACCTTTCAAAGTTTTTGAGTAGAAAACTTTGTAGCAATTGAGACATTGGATTGATGATTGAAACTTGGAATCCGAAATGAAAACCACCACCAAGAACTGAGAGTATCGCTGTCAACACTAAGCGAATTGTAAGCTGTGATGATCCAACACCTAAAATCATCTTTATGTACCTGTTTAGTGTCGAAAATGATGGTATTGAATCAGATGTTTTAGGAGTACCTTAAACGCAACATCATTTAAAAGCAGCAGTCAAAATTGAGAATGTTAGAAAATTAAGCAAAAATAACAAATTCTACCTTTCTCAAAACTGCTGCCAATGGTACCACAAGGAACAATCTTCATTCTGTAGATCTAAAATAGGTTTGTGAAAAAGAGGGTTTAGGGGTCTGGCTTAAGCGTTAAAACTTCTTGCGATTCGATTAATAGTCAAAAGAAACCGCAAGTAGTATCGCTTAAAAAAGACATATGTTCTGTGTTACACCATCAACGTCCAGTTTACAATCGAAAGCTCTTGAGAGCAAAAAAACTGGGATAAAAAATCAATGAGAAATTTGGTAAATTTTTGTGGAACGGACACGAACAACAACGTACGGACAGTTTTTTTTTATCGTTGTAATCAAGATGTGAACAACATAGCGTCGTTCACAAGAAGCTTTTAACGACGTGGAACGCTCTTCATGCCACAAGTACAATTACGTCGCGTTTGAGTGAGCAGCGATGTTGGCCTTCTTTCAGATCAATCATAAATCTGATCAGGGAAACAACGAAAGTATTATATTGATATCCCCTTCTTCCTAAAAAAATCCAAAACTAAGTGGACATTTAAAGTCATTAGCAATTTTGTTCTTTATACCTACATTACTAACTGAAGGGTATATTTTACTGACAAATCATGTGACCCTTTTGAACTAACGCGTCGCTGGTTTAATAAGATTTCTTCAATTCATCGTTTAAAAGACCAATTTCGAGAGACACTGCTAGCTCGTTTTAGCACAGCTTACGTTAATCAGAGTGAAATTTATGGCTTTATTATCAAGTTCTTGCTATAATGGTAAGCGTTCCGTGGTTCTATTAACTCTTATCTGGACTCCAAAACGGAAAAGTGAAACTTCATTTATCTTAGATGATTCTTGCCAGAGAAATGAACGTCACTTCGTATATTCGATACCAAGGATAAGCTCCTCCAGTTACAATGAGCCGCTAAACCATTAGGGGTCTCTTAAATTCGTGGTTTTTTATAGTACCCGCCTTCACTGCCACTGTGCGGACCCTGCACTTTTTCTTGCGTTTGATTCGTTCCCTCGCATGCGTTATCCACGATAATCTTTGACGTATTTCATTCTTCATGCGTGAATATCGTTGAATGCCGGTCGAGTCGATTTTACTTGGAATCCTGGTGTAACATGGCTAGCGCGTTTCCAAATGACTTGCAGAGAGTGAGTTGTACCCAAATAGCCTGATTCCATTTTTTGGGTACTGGAAGGATAAAAGAATTAAAAACAGTAGTTATTTTAGTCGTCAACTATTGCGGATAATAGCTGGACTTCAAGGCGTTGATCAATATCACGAATGCGCGCTATGGAATGTTCAGGTTGTGAAGCCATGTTCTAAGAAGTGAATCTTGCTACATAAAGCTAGTAAGCTCTCGGCGTTGATCAAAGCATGTGCCATGCCTTCAACTTCTTTAAGTATCGCTGGAGGTGACTGAATGCATATCTGGCCTTTACAATGACTCGCGGTGGTCTACCGATGCATCGAGCCAGTGCTGCTGTCTTCCCAGACAAGTCTGGTACCCATTTGCCGACCCTGGAGGAATGGAAGGTTTGGTGGGAGGGAATTGATCCCATGCGTATTGCAGGGCGCCCCCGACCACTGCGCCACAAGCCCTCTTGATACATGGCGGAATTTATTGAATGTTCTACTCTATAGCAAACTTAGGTGACAAACCGACGGAAATGATCAATGTTTCGTCTTTAATATCATCAACATTCGTTTTTAGACAAATGGGTATTGATCCTTTTTAAAGTAATTACAGTAAATGAACATTACATTCGTCTACTTTATCAAAATCCAACACATTACGCTATTCGCTCAACATTTATTACATTCTCTAACCTTTAGCTGTAATAATAAAGTGATCGGTGTCGATCAACCCCTTAGAGGCGTCACATATTCGACTCCATTCGTAACACCGCAGTTGAATGCATATTTGGCCTATGCAGTGATTTTCAGCAGCCCTATCAATTTATGCAAAAGTCCAGTGTCTTAACTCTCCTAAACAAATGTGGAACTAATTATCCGACCTCAGAGAGGCAGTAGTTAACTGGATGACCTGACCACCCAGGGCACGAAATCGAACCAACAAATACGGGCGCATTTCCAAGCACGTTTACCTCTGCGAATATGTACTTGAATTTTCAGCTGTATGAACAAAACAAATATTTTCGCAATAAATAAGAACTCTAGCGATTAAGCGAGTATGCAAACCTTAGTCTCACGTCTATTAAGGGAAAAACGGTGAGTGAAACACTGGACAACAACACTATATGGAACACTACAAACCGACTTTCATTCAACCTAGGTATGAATGGTCAACGCACCTTATCAATAAAATGATGTACTATAGGCATTCTTTATTGTACAAGAAAGAGGTTATTGTTAATCCGAAAATTGTATCTGAGGAGGCGAAAAAAGAAAAGGAGATGATACTGTAACACTCATAATAAGTAGACGAGGCATAAACCGGCGATCGTACTGACACCGAAACCTCTTTGGAGTTGTTGAGAACTGGTCCTAGGTTGACCACGGAACGATGGGCGGCGAGCATTCAAGCAAGTGATAAACGCTTAGCATCACTCCACTGAGCTTTCAATCCGAGAGAATCCGAGGAGTTTTTTAGATACAACTAGTTATGGTTCTGTATCCAAGCCAAAAATACGTACAGTACGAAAAGTCTAAACTAACGAAGTGTGGAAGAACATCATCCACGCATAATTTAAAGGCCAATGTGAAATGATGTCCAGCGAGTGCTTAGAATAATCAGGATACTGTTGTTAGTGCTGATGTACATGCAATTAAAGGCACTAGAAATCTCCATAGCATTTAAATTCGTAAAAATTTGATGATGTTGGAATGTGTTAAGAGAGATATATGAGGATGATCAGTACTACCATCTCTATCTATACCTACTGGATAAGTGAATTTCTGGCAAAACCTACGTAAACATTTTTTTATAATCCACTTCATTGTTGACTGTTTTCAATTTTTTGTTCTTTTTTAGTTTTTGTCCGAACTGTGATAAAGGGTAAAAAGGAGCTCTGGGCGTTGATCAATCCCTGAGAGTTATACAATGCATTTGACTTCATTAAACATCGTCGGAAGTGAATCAATGCAAATCTGGCCTTTACAATGACACGCGGTGGCCTACCAATGTATCGACCCAATGCTGCTATCCTCCCAAGCAAGTCTGAAGCCAATTTTCCGACCCCGGAGGGATGGAATGCTTGGTGAGCCACGGGCGAAGATATCGATCCTATGTGTGTACCGCAGGGCGCCTCCGACCACTGTGCCACACCCAGCGGACTTAAATAGAAACTGTACAGTTATTATGTATTAAGTTGTTGTTAACTCTTACATCGTCAAATGTTTCACCTTTCCGCTTCAAACTAACAGTAAAGCAAGAATGTCTTTGTTATGTTTACTGGTAAATACATCATAAACTTTCATTATTAACCAATACTCCACGATTTGTATCATATATGATTCTTATGATCAAGTCAAACTCACTGGTTTTGATGTGAGCCATATATGAAACACACTCACCGGGCATTATTGGGCAAGATGAGTCATATTCTACGCATTCTCTGCCATCGATTGTTCCAAACAGAGCTTTCCAACACAACTTTTGTAATCGGTCAAGAGATTATTGAACGCCGATATTGTGGCCGAATTTGCCAGAGAAAAGTTTCATTATATACCTAGAAATGCAAAGAACACCTATCTTCCAGCAGCCTTATTGACCGGTACATTATATTGTTAGTCGGATCTCTCTTGAATCATTTAGGGGATGGAGCGATGTAAAAATTCCAGAAATGGACTCAACATAAGGTACAGAACACTTCCAAAATCTGACTGTAAGGTGCTTGTATGATGGGCAATAGGAAGTTTTAGTAAATAGCGCCTCACATACTAAACTTACCCTCAGAAAAATAGCTCGAAGTCTCTTCTACAATTCAGTCATCTTCTATACCTCTCAAATCCTTTAGTTACGAGAAAATTGCCGTGTATTGTCTTGAAAAACCAGAACTGCGTAACAACATAACACTAGACGTCGTCCCATTTGCCTGCTGCACCATGTTAAGCATCCACAAGAATAGGTTAGCGCATAACGCTTAACACCCATTGGTTACAGTGCATTTTGTCTGGAAGCAATCTACGCTTCCAACGTTGAACCACTGTATCCCAGTTCATATTCAGCTTCACTACCTTTAAAATAATTACTTATGCCAACCTTATGTGGGCCGAGCAAAATAAAAGGCATGTTAGACCTTACTGGTTGGGATAAGAACTACTAAACTTCTAAGATTTTTTTGCCTAAGATAATAGTAAAGATAAATTCGTCGTTGATCAGTCCCTTAAGAATGCGTCATGGATTCGACTTCCGTAAATATCGTTGGTGGTGATTCAATGCACATCTGGCCTTTACAATGACTCGCGGTGGCCTACCGATATATCGAGCCAGTGCTGGTATCCTTCGAGACAAGTCTGGCACCAGTTTGCCGAGCCCGGAAGGATGGAAGTCTTGTTGGGCCTTGGGAGCGGAGATCGATCCCATACGTATTCCAGAGCTCTTTTGACCACTGCGCTACGCGCGCCCTTTTAGCCTATAAGCTACAGTTATCTTATTAGAACGAATTGAAACTGTTTTTATAAATGTCGTAACGCATATTTCTTTCAGCTTCTTCGCTTGAGGATTGTATTTCAAATAAAAAAATTGAAACAAATGCGATTTCGTCAAGCATGACACATTACCGTTTCTCAATCTATCGTTGATGTTTGTGGTTATCGCTATGGCGTCGGATAATTTAAGAATTCGAATTCCGCTTTGGACCGTTAGAAAATTTTTATTCCGAGCCTGTTTAAAATTGGAAAACCTCTTCCAAAAATCTATGAAGCTCTCAGCTTCTCAAAATTTCTAATGACTGAAAAATCACCATTAGTTTTAGAAAAATTGGCTTCGAATCTTATGTGTTAAGCAGTGCTTCCAAATTTGAATCCATCTCAAACACAATTTTTTTAGCTTTTAATCTATTGACGTATCTGCTAGTATAACCGGTTAGGTTATAAGAACTCTTTTGCGCGTATACAAAATGAGTCACCGATTTCGCCATCCATACATGGCCAAGTTAGAAACCCTCCTGTCCTTCCACTTACGGCCACTAACGAAATGAGGTCGCAAACCTTTTGAGGGAAAAAACCCGTTGAAAACACATGTTTATTATTTCAACTCGTTGCGATTTTTATGTTTTACAACAAAGTGGCATAATTCTCACAATTATATGGGGTTGATAGCACACTGGTAGTGAGGTTCGTCATCACGAGCATGGTGCACGGTCGACTGCGCTCCAGTCCAACTAAGCCTTCTATCCCTGCGGAGTGGTGAAATTGGAACCGGACTTGTCTGGGAAAAAATCACTCTCTGCAGTCCAATTGTGAACGCTTCATCCCGGCCATCTCAGGACTCCAGGGAGAATTTCTCGACCAGCATTCTACGACATTCATGATGAAATCAAAATCCTCAAGCAGCAACCGGAGCCACACGTAAGAGTTGCAAGATCTTCGTGGACAGTGGATGCGAGGAAAAGGCTGGGATCCGTACCGTGAACGTGAAAACGGGTCATATAAAACAAAAAAATTTAAAAATTCCTAATTTAGAGCATAGCATGCCTGGTATAACACTTGTGTTTAATAAGCTATCGATCAAATATAAAATCGGCTACAAAAAAGCCTTATGCGGCAATATAACCTGCTGAAAGCAACTGCGTTGAGATCAATGCACCTCGTCCATTTCTCCCTCCCTGGTATCACGCCCACATTGAGATCGGTGCATCTTGGGCGTTACCTTCTACTGGCTTAATGTTTCAATATTTGCTCTGATTGGAAGGAAATATCTGGTATACTCGACTGATTCTACTATTAAGCGATACATTTACAAGTGGATCATCCATCATACATAGTAACTGGGATACTTCTCATTTGAAAAAAGACGTAATCAATAGACATATTAAGATAAAAGATGAATCGAATTCATTTGGGCCAGAATGTTGAAACTAGATGGCCGACGAACGATAGGATCGGTGAATTGGGATTTTAAGAATGAAAGTGAAAGAGCATCGTCACGGCGAAAAGGAAAAAAACCGATTTGGTACCGGAATGCTTCGTAGATTGTTAGAAGCAATCCGCTTAGAGTGGTGACGACTAAAAATGATTGAGATTGCTGTTGAAAACAAGAAAACATCTGGTTGACACATTTGCGACGAAGCAGGTTTTTTTTTCTGACAACTCCCGATTATTCTTCGATAACTGGAATTCCCGAGATACTGAGAACATCAATATATTTTTCTGGACTATTAAGCTAACAAGAGGTTGATGGAGCGGTTTATTCGGCTTACGCGCTTCAACATCTTTGCTTTCCTCAAAGAAGACGTTTTGTCAATCTCATGTTACTTTAATAATCCAGAAAGTTATTGATTAATAATGTCGAGGTTCAATGACGGTCAGTTTGAAAAATACTAAGGATGTCATTGCTTCCGAGAAGGTGAGGCTTTGAATTGTCGCCACCTAAAACATTTTCGTAGTTTTTACAAAATACCCTTCCTTTTTCAGACCTCTAAAACTCAAGTTCAAACCGAAAATTTGAAAAACTGAAGGCGAAATTATATCAGCAAGGGTGGCAGTACACTAGCAGACATCACTGCGCGCTGTTTTACGAGATTTTGAATGTTCATTCAAGATTTCTTTAATATGTGGAAGGTCTGAGACTATATCTGTAAGGAGGATAAAATGGTTTCAGCCTTATTGGCAGAGACCTCTGGATTGTAATGGTTTTTGAGTGAATTAGTAAAATTCACTAAGATATGAGAGATGTTTGTCTAAAGTTGAGAGGTGTAAATCATTTTCGGAAACATATGCATTGAAGTCAATGCTTAGCTTCAAGAAAACACTTAACGATTAACAGGAGACAGGCAAACTTCACAAAATCTACAAAAGAAGCCAGTGAGATAAATAAATACATTCGCTGAGCAGCAAATAGACGTTAGGCTCCAAGTTGCTCATACATTTTTAGAACTTTAGAACTTCTTTCCGTTCAAAACGAAAGCAAATTCTCACAGTTATTCTTTTTTTCCATTCTTCGCGTTCACTTTCTCTCATACCAGAATGTTCAGCTATAAGATAATCGATTATGTCCAGTAATACACGACGAAACCAAAAATGAGTTGAAACGATGTAAGGTGTATGATCGTATTACTCTTTAGAAATTTTATTGACTAATACATGTCAGAAAGAAGTTTATTAGCAGAAAAATCACTTATCCAATACCAGGATCCACGACCGTCCTGGTATCAAAGTCGCATGGTGACAAATCTCTCTGATCCACAAGGGCTGCGACTGCTTGTGATGGTGAAGACCTGAGGCAGACCTTGGCCAGACCGACCTCAGGATTCCTGGCAACCACAGTGGCTTAACCAGCAAATCTCCGAAAAATGGAGATTACGCCGACGCCCGCACAAGTAGTGAGGACGGGCCATTCAAGTATCAAGTATCTAGTATCAAAATCACCTGTAAATATTTTCCTGAAGCATTTTATTTATTTAAAGAATATATTCAGAGGAAAAGAAACTGTACACAATGCAGACGACAGGAGGCATCTTCAAGGAGAGATTCATCTGAGAACAACACTCACCGTCTCTCATCATCGAAGAAATAAAATCGACACTAATGATGCCGGTTTCCGTATGTTCTCAAATCTTCCATGTCATCGTAACAAACTGGACAGAAGATCCAACTTTACGCAATTTTAGTGCCTGCCTGGAATTTGGGATTGTCTCACAGGTTATCGTCTGGTAGCCACGAGCAATTCCTTTCCATTATGCATTCTCTCACCGATAAGCTAACACGAAATTGTTACCAAACATTTATTCGGCTAACGTTCCGACATTTTCGTCTTCCTCAGAGCCGATGATCCGTCCAAGCCGATGTCCACAGTCGTTCGTCTTCTTCATGTAGTGTCTTTGTCTTCGTGTCGACTACTTGTCCGAGTTCTTGTCCCTATCGAGGTTTTCCTCTCCAATGTTTCGACATCCAGACAGACTAAGGAAGGCTCATTTAGAACAGACATTTAGTATTTCCTTGGGTGATTAGATTAAAATCGGAACTGGATTGGTTGGTTAGTTCTAGTTCGGCTAGTTTAGTTTGTTTTCAGTTAAAATCATCTAAGTTTAAAAGCCACTTAGCCACTTTTCAAGCGGATGTCCTGCGGTAGGAGTAACCCACTTCCACGAGCTACCGTCCTTTAAAATAAATTAGCCGCGTAGACTTTAAAGGAAAACCACTCACTCTATTTTCTAATCTGATGAGGTTCTCATAACTAGCCATTCAAGAAACTAAGAAAGTAGCCACAGGTAGAAGTTGTACCCTATAAAGTTTATGTTTAAATTTCGGATTACCCTGTTTTATAGTTAAGCTCATTTCCTGTGAAATTCGAATTTTCCGTTGTTACTAATCTAACCGATAAACCAGTTAATAACAACCTCTTGTCTGCTTATTGAAGAAAAACATAGAAACCAGTTATGGTTTTAAACTTTGCAGACGATGTATCGACTCATCGATGACCCTGTGGGGAATTTTGTTGATCTAGAGAAGAGATATGGATGGATCTTTCCGACTGGTTATGGCCATGCATGTCGAAACAGAACGTGTTAGCAAACTACTATGATCTAAGCATTCCAGCATCCACTGAACACTTAGTTGTTAAATCTAGACCCATCATTGGCACATTCGCTTAGAAGCGAGTTTTTCAAGAACGTTGCCGATAATTCGAGCACCTGAGAAGTTCAAAACAGGATAGACTTATAGAAGAGACTTGGCCTTGTCGTTCTAGGAGTCTATGTAACTTCTGTAAGCCATTATTTTAATTTTAAATCCGCTCTGACACTCAGGCACTGGAAAAATTGAAAACCCAGTTCGAAACGTCAAGATTTTCAACGATGGTGGTGCAGCCAAACTTTGGTCGATTCGTTGTAATCACTGCATCTTGCTGGACAAAACTTCGTTTCCTCAATAGACATTTTGAGGCTCGTCTTGCGCAGTAGCCGAAGGCGCTCTGTAGTACGCATGGGATCGATTCCGGCACTCACTAAACCCTCCATCTTCTCCAAAGTCAGTAAATTGCTACCAGACTTGTGTGGAAGGATAGCAGCAGTGTTTCGATACATCGGGGACCACTGCGAGTCATTGTAAAGGCCAGATGTGCATTCAATCACCTCCAACGATACTTAATGAAGTCGAACGCATGGAGCATCTTCCAGGAATCGATCAATGCCGAGAGCGCTATCCTTTTTTAATCCTAGGTTCCGAGGAAGGCCAAGCTACCGAGACGGTAACAACCTGGTGTGAGCTCAAAGAACAGGGTTCTCAAGGTAATAACATGAGTAAAGGAAGAAACACAATGATGCTGGAATATCTGCAAAGCTTTGCACCGCAAATGTCAGCGGTGGGGACCGAACACGTTTTCCAGAGCTGACGTTTTCACCACCACACCATGCGGCGTCTTCGTTTCATCTGTCTTTCAGCCGTCTTTTATTTTATAGGTGCTATCAGTAAGACACTGAAAGAAAGGTGAAATCATGGCCCAGCATGGTGTGGTGGTGAACACGTTAGCCCCCGGAAAAGGTAATGTGTTCGATCCTCACCGCAGACACTTGCGGTCCGAAATTTTGCAAATATCTCAGCATCACTGTGGTTATGTTTCACATCATACCCTACCATGAAAAAAGAGTACGCAGTGAATGAAAACTGAATCCAAAGGAAAAAGCTCTTGGCTTTGATCAATCTTTGAGGGATGCGCCATACATTCGACTTCATTAAGCATCGTTGGAGGTGATTGAATGCATATCTGGCCTTTCCAGTGACTCGTGGTGGCTTAACGATGTATCGAGCTAGCGCTGCTATCCTCCCATACAGGTCTGGTACCAATTCGCCCATCACTGTGGAATGGAGGGCTTGGTGAACCCAGGGGCACGGGTTCAATCCCACGTGTATTGCAGGCTGCCTCTAATCACTGCGCTACACGCGACCCGTAAGATAGTGTGGATTAACCAGTGCCGATGTTAATCGAAAGTCGGTCCATCACCACAGAAACGACAGCCTTCGTTTATTTTGTCAAATCGACTCTCTCTTGCGTACATAGTCTGAGTTCATATGCCGTAGAGAAATGCTACTTGTGTGCAATTGCAGAATAATTTGGATGAAGACGGCCCATGAAGTTGGGCGGGTCCCGCGCAGAGTTCGCCAAGAAATATTCCATGTTCCGGATTTCTTTGTTGTTCATGTTTTAGGGATAGTTTCTTTGCTTAAAGCAATTCTTTGAATGTATCAACTCTGTCGTTGTCGTATTGTCGATCGGTAGCTCACTGAAGGGAAGGGGATTCCCGTATTTTCTTCTCGATATCTTTCTTCAAGTCCCATAGTTCTTGCTGTCGATTCGTGTTCGAAGTTTGGTCTCCTCTGGGAATTTTCCTGTTTTGCAATAGATCATTTTTAAATAGGTATAATAAGCATTTTACATGAGGCAAAGTCGCCTTGAAATCTTGACTTCACCGATTCCACGCGTATTTCTAGACATTTTTTTCCCGTGTTTTTCATAGAAGGCACTTCCAGTCTGTCATTTCGAGAATACTCTTTTTGAAGAAAGAATGACTGAAAACGAGAAAATATCAGCTGGCGGAGATGCCCGACCGAATCCAGGAGAAATGACTAGCAAGGACTATTATTTCGATTCGTACGCTCATTTTGGAATCCACGAGGTTTCCCCGTATTTTCGAGAGCTTTCCTATTAGTTGACAAAATATGTGAGTTATTTTGTTTCGTATTTAAGGAAATGTTGAAAGACGAGGTCAGGACGGTGACGTATCGCAACTCCATTTACCATAACAGACATCTCTTCAAAGATAAGATTGTGATGGACGTCGGTTCAGGCACCGGAATACTTTCGATGTTTGCAGCTCGCGCTGGTGCTAAGAAGGTTTACGCAGTACGTACTGTTCAGTTACGAATTCACATGACAGTCTTTTTTCATTAGTTATTCCTCGTATTGAATTGCAGAAGGTATATTGTATTCTGTGAGTTTGCAAGATGTTGGTAACGGTGAATTGGGTGGGATAAGTGCCTTATTCACGCCAACAAACTTATGTTTTGTTTTATTTTCATCGATCGTTGAGGCTAAGAGAAGGGTTACATATTTTGGTATTAGGGTTAGTGTGGAGACCTCATAGGTTGTTGATGGTGAAAGGTGGGATAAGCGCCCCATTCACGTGAATAAACTTACATTTTGTTCTGTTTTCATTCATCGTTGAGGTTAAGAGAAAGGTTGCATATTTGAGTACTAGCGGTACTGTGGAGGCCGTATAAGTTGGTAACCGTGAATTGGGTGGGATAATTGCCTATCCACGCCAATAAACTTATGTTTCGTTTTATTTTCTTCATCATTGAGACTAAGAAGAATTGCATACTTGGGTACCATGGTTACTGTGATAGTGAATTAGGTGGGCTTTATTTTATTCTTATAGTTTAATTCATAAGAAACCTAGAAACCTAAGATGTCTATCCAGAAACGGTTTCATTCTTCATTCAGATGGAATTTTCAAATATGGCTTCACAATCACGTCAAATCATAAAAGACAACAATCTTGAGGACATCATAACAGTGATTCAGGCCAAAGTTGAAGAAGTGACCGAGCTCCCCGATGGCTGCGAAAAAGTGCGGAACTTTGAGCTTCGTTTTATTTTGACTTTTACTTTAAGTGTTGTACTATAGCCGGGTTTTGTTCAGAACGGTAAATTTATTGAATCGACTATACTTAACATACAGCATACATGGCTAAGTTTGACTATCATAGTTACAGGTGGATGTAATCATTTCGGAATGGATGGGATACTGCCTTTTCTACGAGTCAATGTTGAACACTGTAATCTTTGCTCGAGACAGGTGGTTGAAGGAGGATGGCCTGATTTTCCCAGACAAGGCAAAGCTGTTCTTATGTGCAATTGAAGATCGACAGTATAAGGAAGACAAAATCCATTGGTTAGTTATTATTCCTTTTTTTTCTTGCCGACTTTACCTACATCAGAAGATTTACAGGTGGGACAACGTGTATGGTTTCAACATGTCCGCCATACGTAAAGTTGCCATTACGGAGCCTCTCGTAGATGTTGTTGATAACGCACAAGTGGTCACAAATAACTACTGCCTAAAAGAAGTAAGTTCAAACCAGAAGTGTACCTTAGAAACCTGTCAGTCAAGCTACTACTGTTTGCCACTAAGCGACTGTTTTTAGGACTACTTAGTTCTTAAATTATGTTTAAATGCGAGCGATGCATTAGTCCAAGAATCATGTCTTCGGTAGTAGAATGATTGTTGATGCAGTGGTAGTATGAACCACTAGTTTGTCTAGTGAGCTTCCCGTTCTTTAGCAGGAATGTTAGTAAATGACTAGTAGCCAGAAATATATGCGTTTTCTTCCGTATATGTGCTTTACTGAGTGCTCTTTTCCGACGATTTCCTTCGTTTCCGTGATTTTTCATGTTTTATTCAAAGAGCCATTTCAAGTCAGGTTGATCATTTCAGATTGATTTGTACACCGTAAAAGTTGAGGATCTTACTTGGACGTCAGAATTCACACTTCGTTGCGCGAGAAACGACTACGTCCAAGTTTGTTCAATATCTAACAGGCTATTGCTACTGACCATCTATTAGAATTTTAACCTTATCCACTGATGCTGTTGATTTATAGGCTCTTGTAACGTTCTTTACTGTCGAGTTCTCCAAGTGTCATAAAAGGACAGGATTTTCAACTGGTCCAGACGTACAATACACCCACTGGAAGCAAACAGTCTTCTATCTTATGGTTTTTGTTGTTGTTATTGTGTTCTTTTACGTGGCTTTAAGTGAAATGCTACTTTTCACAGGATGCACTTACTGTGAAAAAAGGTGAAGAAATCAATGGTTCATTTTCCGTAACGCCCAATGCAAGAAACGAACGTGATCTCGACTTCGAAATTAAGGTTTCTGTTTTTATTCCAGTTAAGCCCATTCGTAAATTGACGTTTGCACAATACTGACAAGCGTTCTGTTGTTTATCAAACTTTGTTAACAGACATTGTCCTCAAGTTTTAGCCATTATCCGCTTTGTCCTGTTCACAGTGGATTTCTAGGTGGATTTTCGTGGAGATGTGTGTGAACTACGCGAGGAGAACGTTTACACTATGCATTAACTCCAGCATTTATTTGGTATTGGAAACCGTCGGTCTCTGTTGATTTCCATCGGCTTCTATGTTAAACTTCATTCCTAGGTTAGATGTTATACGTTGTACAACACCACTCCATAATGTGTCGATCGATAAATACAGTGTGCTCGATTGTCGTAGTTTCTAAATCACCACGTATTTTTTCGAACACTTTTTATTAATCATGTCAATTCTGTACTCTGTATGGACATGTGAAGACCTCTTGACTGTAACGCTTCATAAAATAGACAAGAACGTTGTTTACGACCGACGTTAGTTCTGTGTCTGCACTTATGTTACCGCTAGCTAGAATGAATGCTACATGCGTGTTTATTTCCCCGCTGATCTAATCGTTCTAGGCAGATTTGTCATGGTGTGGGTTCGCTGCCCCCCGTTGTTATTTGTGCGTGTATGTGCGCCTTACTCGTTATGTTCAGGCTGTTTATTTTGCCATTCTTTGACAATGTTCATTCTCCTCGTTATGAAGATTGGGATTCATTGTGTAATAAATGGTCGTCTAAACGGGAAATAACGCCGTTATTATACGTACAGGTTGAAGCGTTTACTGAGTACTTTGTTTACGAAAGGTTAATTATTGTGAGATGATTTTTGGTCTTTGATCGTAATCATTATAGTCCGTGTAGGGTTGTTTGTTCATGATATTCGCTATCATCAAAGTCATGCTGTAGTGATCCTATGATTTCGTATTGCAATTGAATCTGATCGCAGTAAGCAAGGATAATTGTGGAGTTGTCATGTTAGGATTTACTTTTTCAGATAGGTAGATAGAATAGTGTATTACTACGCGATTTATATTTCCTAGTTCCCTTAGTAGTAATAGGAGATTTAGGTAATTGTCATTGTTTTCGTGATCAAGGAAAAACTGAGTTGTAGATGTATCCTTCTGGTTCGGGGTCTTTTTCTGGCTGTCCTGGAGTCGTTCGGAAAGGTGCGGATATATCGCTAGAGGGACTGAATGAATGGAGAATTCAAGAGATCGGATACGACGGAGTGGAGAAGTACATCAGGTTTGAGATTTATAGTCCTCACAGATCCCTGTGGATCATGAACGAAATTGCTTTTTTTCAAGTAAATTAGAAAAGATAAGTGCAGACTTTATCCGATGAGGTTACCCTCACAATAGATAATGTTTTTTGATATCTTTTGCATTACTCGAGGTTTACACCGACAAGTCGCTTCGTGCTTACGCGCAGAGTGAGCTGAATTAGTTTTGACAGTTTGCAAGGAGTCTAATTGCACAAATTTCAAGCAGATTTGTGGCGACGGCTGGCATGGTAAAATACGTAGAACATGACTCATATTTGAGGCTGGTTTTATATATTTTCAGTTGCACAGAATCAATAATGCAGGTCTAAAAATCAACAGGATGAACAAAGTTTGTGGAAAGATAGGCAGTCTTATGGAAGCTTTTATATAAAAGACACGATATTCGGTTTTGGTCAGTGCCGTAGTAATGCGTCAAGCAATTTAGTCTATTTAACTTCGTAGAGCTACGAACCTCCTACAGGAAGGGACCTTGAGCTGGTTGGTGGCAAGGCAACATGGTGCGACCTAAGCTGGCTGATAGGGGTTTAATAGCAGACCAAAGGCGACATTTGCTTCCCTGAGACGCAGACTGATCCAGGCCATGGGCTCCCTGTTTCTGCTGCGGACTTGGCACATATTTTCTGTATTTACGAGGCGTATTCATGCATGCGTGTGTGGGTGCGTTCTTGCTTACGCGGATTGTATTCTACGAGTCAATTCGGCCAAAAGCTATAGCCAACTGACAGGGTATTATATGGGAGGTGGTTAGAAGTCGCCTTCAACAAATAAGCTCCATATCCACCCTGGGAGACTGGCAAGCTACCCATGAGTATACCCAGCCCTCTCGTCCAGAGCCTAGCAAGCTATACGTGAGCATCAAGAAACTAAACAGTAAAATAAACGGGCCTCATTCCACTGACCCCGAAAGAGCCTCCATTTTAGTAGCGTTGTGTAGAACGAGTACGGGAAGGCTGCTAAAATCTAAGGGCCATTCTAGGCTGCCTAAATCGCAAAGGAGTTTGGTGACGATCTGTTCCTACAATGGTGGCACATTACCATCTGAGTCCTTGGTAAAAGACGGCAAGAAGGATGAGGTACAATGTCATTGGACTGGCTGAGACGAGAAGACGCCACCCATTCAACGCCTTCTATGACACCGAAGAACTTTTCTTGGGAACATGCGACAGTAGAGGAGTCGGCGTTTTCTTTGTCACGAATTTGGCCGTAAACATAATATATTCATTCGAACAACTAATAACACGAATCGAACGTTTACGATTGAAGAGATGTGGATCAATACCGGCGTTTACATTCTTCTTTGTCTACGCACCGTCATCAAGCTATAACGGAGACGAAATCGAAGCGTTCTATATGGATTTGGGGAAGTTCTACGGGGATCGTCATACATTCTTCAAGGTCATTGGAGATTTTAACGCTGGACCCAGAAGAACGTCTGCAGAATGCCACATTGGGACCCACGGATTAGAATGGAACGAGCAGAGTGAGCGGCTGTATGAGTTTGTCATGGCGACCAATCCCATACATAGTAACCCACGATTCTAAAAGTCATAGTAGTTTAGTCATCATTGATTTATCGAAGGTTGTGCCTAACCGATGTCACTGTTGTCCCAAGATTCTGCACGGGATCGAACTATCTCCTTCGTGCAAGATTTCATTTCTCGTGGAAAGAAGAAAAAGCCACTAAGTTCAAGAAACGAAATCCCAGAACCACCATGAGCTGGAATTTATTCAGTTCATTAGTCGACTGCCGGGAATGTGCCGTACTTGATAACGTCGACGAGGAATACGATCAGCACTTTCAACATCTTCATGTTAGCGCTATGGAAGCTGAGAGTTCGAGAGATTCCAAGAGACACCTCTCTCCAGAAACTCTCGAGCTGAAACGTCATCGTGGAATTGCACGGGCTACAGGGAATCGCGAACTCACGTCCGAACTTGCAAAACTATCCAGACTGGCGATAAAGGAAGATCTTAAAGAGAGAAGAGCAGCAGTTATAGTCGGAGCTGCAGAGGCTGGGAAAAGCATTCGCAAAGCTCACCGAAGCTTCACCAATTACAAGACCAAGATTACACTCCGATGTCCAGGCGAAACAGTAACATCGTTCAGAAAGGCAATGTTGGAAATCATTCAAGAATACTACTCAGATCTCTTCGATAGCCACATCCACCTGTCATGAAATAAAGGAGGATGGTTATGTCGTACCACCAGTTCTCCCTTCCAAAATCCGACGTGCTACTTCGTCGGTGAAAAATTGAACGACACCAGGTTCAGACAGGATAGTATCTGAACACTTGAATAACCTTCCGCCAGTCCTCATAAACACGCTAATTAGGCTCCTCATACGTTGCCTATTTGAATGCAAGGTTCCTACTCATTGGAAGACCGGTAAAAATGTTCTATTTTTTAAGGGTGACCTCCACAATATCGGGAACTCTCGCCTGATCTGCTTACTTTCCATCGTACACAAGCTTTTCACTCGAGTCACCCTAAACAGGGTTGACAGAACACTGGACGAAGGGCGGCCATGTGAACAAGCAGGGTTTCGAAAAGGGCTCAGTACGGTGGACCACATCCACATGATAACAAGACTCACTGAAATATCGCGAGAGTACAAAAGACTGCACTGTCTCACTTTCGTCGATGTAAAGAAGGCCTTTGACTCAATTCAGGTAGAAGTAATCATGGAAGCCCTTGATAGTCAGGGAGTCCCTACTCAGTACATAGATGTTCTTTGTGAGCCATATAAAAATTTCACAGCTAGGATAGCACCATTCTACAATGGTATTAACATCACGTCAAAAGAGGGGTTAGAGAAGGCGATACCATCTCGCCAAAATTGTTCACCGCCATCCTCTAGAACGTCATGGGAACCTTTGTAATGGGATAAAATGAGAGTGGAAGTCGACGGTAGGCAATTACACCATCTTCGCTTTGTTGATCACATCGTTCTTGTAACTCTAAGCATTAACTAAGCATGCAACCAACATTAACCAACGAATGCTACCGGGCTTTGAAAACGCCTGTTGAAAGATTGGTCTTCGACTAAATCTCAGAAAAACCATGATCATGAAGAACGGATTGATTACGGATGCTCCATTCGCACTCAACGGTTTACATATTTCTGAATGCTCCAGTTCTATCTATCTAGGTCATAAAATCAACATGATGAACGATCTAGCTCCGAAGTTGAGCAGTAGGAAGCGAGCTGCTTAGGGAGATTTCAAGAGCATCCATGATTTCAGTAAAGAGAACAAAGAACATGCGACTGCGTGCCCACCTTTTCAACCTCACGATTCTTCACACTTTAACTTTACGTGTTCACGTTAAATACCTGGTCACTGGGTAGTTAGGATGGAAGGTCGCTAGGCGTCATGAGACACATAGTGGAAAAGACGATTTTAGTAGTATCCCGTATCACGCAAGTGAGGGAACGGATCCGAAGTTTCGCTCTACGTCAGCGATCAAAAATCGAATGGCACGGACAGGTAATGCGTATGCAGGTCAACCGATGGACTAAATCACTTACTGATTGACTTCTTCGAGTGTCAAACGTAGTGCAGGACGACCATCGATCCGATAATCAGAGCTTTTCAAGAAAACCCTATCATATAGAGACGATGTTAAACGAGTCCCTAGAGTAAACAGAACCCACAGTTATTCTTGCACGCGACATAGAGAAATGGAAGATTTATTGGCGCGAACTCGATTAACTCGGCGATCAACGGGACTACAGGTGACAGTTGACCATCGTAGAGGTGATTACTTGCATATTTGACTCGTAGAATACTCTCGGTGGCAGCGATTCCGATCATCGCGAACACCGTGGTGATTCGACTCGGTAAATTCACCAATCCTCTCATCCCTCCGTGATTTGGAAATTAGTAGTAAACTTAGCTGGAAAAAGTTCACTCTCTGCAATCCAACTGGGAACGCTCTAGCATAGCGATCTCAACATTCCGTGGAGAATCGACTCGACTAGCATTCAGCGACGTTCATAACGAGGGTGACAATCCTCACATAGCAGCCGATTCCACGAACAGAATGTTCGAAGACCTTCATTAATGATGGATGCGAGGAAGTGAATCGAATGCAAGAAGGGCTAGGATCCGAACAGTACATGTGAAGACGGGTTGTGTAAGATAGAAAATGGAAGAATGAAATGTTTGAGTAGCTCATCATCATCCATCGATAGGAATCATCCAGTCTCCGACTTAATTTTAATTGGACTAGTGCTTTGCTGGTTATGAAAGGTTTTTTCTGTGTAGTCTTCAATGGTGTGTTGCGTCCTTTGCACAACACAAGTCGTAGCCACTTGCCGTTCCAAAGGTATGATATTTTACCAGAATAGCAGTTGTCTATGGCACTAGTGATCTTGGTAAAGTAGACGAACCTGCACTGTTTATTGCAAGTTGTCATTCAAGAACACTACGCAAGCACGATGAAGTGCTTACGTCCAGCTCTTCGAGGCCGACGGTTGGAACATTTTTATCTGCGAAGATGAAATTGGAATTGCTCGTGCTATCATTTGAGCAGTGTTTTCATCAAGTAATCTGAAATATTAGGCTGGTATTTATGTGTTTTAGACCGCCTTCCTTTTCCGACAACGTTGGAAAATTGGCCAGAAAAGTTGATTGGAAGAAACTCATAGGATCTGACGCTGTTTACGATAATCCAAATTCCGTGATAAACGAAACTGATGATGAAAAGGTGCATAATAGCTACATTATTAGTTCTAACTGTATATCATTTTAAATGCATTTAAGATTTTATTTATGAAATGTTAACGGCAGGGCGAGTTTTGCGAGCAGGTAATTTTTCGGTAACTGAAGAATTGAGAACTTGATATAACTGTAAAAGAGATCTCCGAGTATCGTTCTGATGGTATTTATAGGATTTCCAAAACTTTATTTTAATTTTAAATTCAAATGTTAATGAACTTGAAGAAACTAATATCCAATCCGAAGTAACCAATTTTCTCATATCTCCGAGGTCAGGAAATTGGTACCGGACTTGGGTGGGAAAAATTCACAACCTACGATCCAATTTGGAACGCTTCAGCTCGGCTACCTCAGGACTCGAGGGAGAATCGATTCGACCAGCATTTTACGGCATTCAAAATGAAATGAAAATCCTCAAGCAGTAGCTGAAGCCACACGTAAAACGTGAAAGATCTTCCTGGATAATTAATGCGAGGAAACGAATCGAATGTGAGAAGTGGTGGGATCGTCACAGGAGACGTGAAGACGGATGAAGTAGAAATGGAAGAAATTCTTTGACTCTAATAAATCAAGATTTCGCTGGTAATAGAATACAGATTTTTTGTGTTTTCCAAGTGATCTATTGCTTCTGATGATGTCCAAATTTTAAAATTGTTACTGTTTTCGCTACGAATGCACGATAAATTCACGCTCACATCGTGCACTTTTTTTTTCCTAATGTTTTAGTTCTTAGGATGTTAAAATAATTCGAATCCTCCACGACTTTCATCATTTACAGAGCGTAGAAGTAAGGCCAGTAGTTGTCGAGGAGCGTGTGGTGCCAGAGGCAGGGCCGTGGCACAATGTAGCAAAATTTCTGCAGTAAGTTTGAATCTCTCAAATTTTTTTACCATAATCGAGTCCAAACATTACCCTTCATTCGCGTAGGTTATCCTTTAACGAATTCATCTGCGGATAATGGAAAACCGACCTTAGTGATTGTATCACACCGCAGAGACCTTGTTGAGGTCAAGTCCTGATGCTCTCGGAAACAGTTGTGCTCTGTATTTATTCTGACAATACTCGAGAATACAAAGCATTGAACACTGATCAGATGTTTTTCCAAAAACTCATAGTTTGTCATAAATGATAGACCATGAAGGACATGTGACATAGATTTGCATGTTAAGAACAAAACACGAACTTATCCATTTACTGTTCCGCACTAACTGTTTCAAAAGCTTATTTCACATTTGCTATCAGCCAAGTTTATAAAATGGCCCTCATAGATCTCTCGTGCTTCTCGACTTCGAACTCTGAAATGTTATCGCTTCAGTGAGTCTCTGCAGCAGCTTAACGTACTGCTTGATAACCTCGCTATTATGCGAGCAACGGATTACATGAAGCCGTTGACAATCCTCGATCCAATACACGCAGAATCAGGACCTATGCTTGCTGAAAGTACTGCTGCCAGCAAGGCGACGCAGTGGGTATGGAAGAGAAAGGCGGGTTCTGAACTAGTCATGTTTTCTTTCCTGTATATTCATTCCTCTAGCTATAGTTACATTCGCTGTAGTGCATAAAAGAAAAAATAGTTTCCTTACATACCGTGATGAGTGTGGTCAGCTGTAAAATGTATCTTGAGGCAGAAGTTTATTCAATTTCGAAATGTCACTTTGAAAAAATACCGAGTATTTAGGCATTATTAGAAGCGATGAGTGTACTCGAATTGGCACAGCGCCTTCGAAATGTTGAAGTGGAGGATGAGGTGCATCAACAAAAGAGTCAATTTTTTAGGTAGCGCTGTTCTGTACTGAAGTTTCTCCGAGCTAAGTTACTAGTTCTTTTCAAATTTCTCTGTACATTTAGCGAATTGACGAAGATGCGAGAATACTGGAGAGTGAGGAAAACCGGAGATCACATTTATGGTGATCTTGGCTATCATATATGTAGGTTTTGGGTTATTTACCACACTAATCTAAACGTTAAAGAACAAATTAAGAATTTCCATAATGTAGCTGAAGCTGAAATTGTTGCTCGTTGTCTATCATCATCTAACATTATGCACGAACCATTTCCCATCGATTTTATTCCTCTTCGTAAGGATTTATTGAATTTTATGCAGTATTTAGTTGGATCGAAATATAATCCTCGAGAGCTGTTTGACATTTCGAGAGTGTCGATTCCTCCTGGAACATCATTCGACTCGAACACTTCCGTGTTACAGGTATGCCGATGTTGAAATTGTTTTCTATTCAATGTGTTTCTGTTTCTTGTTCTGTATCGATTATGCAGAGTGAGGCTGTGTGCTAAGGTAATGTCTTGAGCTTTCATTTAGGTTACTGTGCCTCGTGATCTTACTCGTCGTTCTACACTATCTGTTTCTATTGTCAAAGGTGGAACAATTTCGTCACGGTTACCGTTTGCGTAAATTTTAATGTGGACTAGTATGAGTGATGATCCTTTTTAAGACGATCATATGAACCGCGATTTATTCGCCAGCTTAGATGACTATCAATTCGAATACATGAAGGTGGCCAGTAGTAAAATCGAATCTATTCGATGGACTAATGCATTGACATGGGCACAAGAGACCTTAATATGCAAGGATATTTTCAATACGGTAATTTGTTCTTTTAATCTGTAGAAATGAGTCTTAAATTTCGAATACATGTGTAGTTTTAATCCACGTAGTTCTATAAAAACAAGAACTAATCAAGAACCCTAAAGATGCCATCAGCAATCATCCGTAAACCGAAATGATCTGGGATCGGCATTGGACGCAGTTAAGCTGACGTTCAGAAGTAGAGTAAAAGGTTAGGGTGAAAAACTGGCTTAGAGAAAGGCAGAGCAAGAGCTTTAGCGGTGAAGTGGGTAGCAGGTGAGCAATCGGAAAGGGTAATCGCTCTTTCGAATCTGTCCTGGTCTGGTCTAAGTTTTACAAGTATCTCAGCATCATAGCGGTCATTTTTCACATAGCACTCCTCCATGAAAAGAAATAGTGCGCAGTAATTAGACAGTTGTACATTAATGTACAGCGTTTATAAAGGACGAACTGTGGACGTCCGTCGTCTTTTTGCCTACAGTTCAGGTTTTATAGATCAACTGTTTAGAATTGATATCGAAGTTTGCTTCAATTTTTCTTGGGACTTCATTCTACGTTGTTGTTCTTTATATGGCTGTTGTATTTCCTCGTTTCTGGGCTTTTGTTCTTTTGACCACACCCTAATTTAGCTGTGCTCTGACGCTGTTCAAATGCGAAATAGATTGTCAACAATACGGGATGGAGTGTTACTTGTTAGTTTGTACAACGATTATCTTCTTCGAGTTGAACTTAAATACCATCCTTTTAAAGTGAGTTATATCGCTTGTACAATCGCTTTTAAAGCTTTGTAATCGAATTTCACTGTTTATGAATTAAGGAGGGAGATCTTCCAGAAGAGGGATGTCCTTATCTAAATCGGGCACTACGAGAAATGATGGTGGCGCAGGAATGTACTCGTTGGATGCGTCCACAGATGTTCGTTTCTCTTCCGTTGACAAATCTCAGCGAAGCTCTTGATGCACGCGGACCTAGAGCGTTTACTGCAAGAGAGGTAGGAAAACCTACACTTTTTAAACTATAACTACTTAAATGCTTGCATGGCTCGTGGTCGCTAAGGATCTTTTTGGCTTCAGCATAGCTTCCACTTATCTAATAGTTTTCTGGTCGAACAAAGTTTTCTTTTACGGATTATTGAGGTCGTCGCGCTAGATCTTTCCCAAATGGGCACTATAGGCAGTTGAAGATGTGGATCAGAGGGGATCTTGCGTCATTGCAAACGGAGTGTACAGAAATAGTTGTGATGTGACTCATGATATAGGTTCCCTATTATTCGAACTTCTGAATGCTATTTTTGAACCTCTCAGTTTGGGAAACTCGAGTAGGTGATGAACTCTCGTTGTCATAAGTGATGGGACACTATTTAGTGTCGAAATGCCGGTGTTTTCTTTTAGATAGAAAGTCGTGCGTATAGACCACAGTTTTTGCTGGAAAAGCTGATTATTATTGCTTCACATTATTCATTGGTTCGCATGGCGCGTGATACACTCGAAGAATTCATGAGTACAACTCGAGATCCACAAGTATGTTCATGCTATGTTTATTGTTTGGATGTTGAATTAGTGCACCAGTGTTCTTATGCGAATGCAAATTTATTTGTTAAGTTTTATCTGCTAGGGTTACAAAAGTGTTTGGCTGGGTAGATGGCATGTCAATTTGACCTTTCCAAGCTCTAAAGAAGGCGAAACCGCCGAAACGTCAGCTATTGTATCCTAATAAATTCTATAATAACAACCTCGTGCCAGCTTGTTGAAGGAAAACATCGAACTATCAATCAATGCCGAGGTTAACAGGAAGTCGGTCTTGGGGAGTGTTCTGAGTGTTGAATTAGTAATTCCCACGGCCGATTTTCTGTTAACATCGGCATTGTTTAAATGATTCTTTATATTCTTGTTCGGCAAACACGAGGAGTTATTTCACATCCTGTCCACGAACAAGCTGATGTTTCGACGGATTTCGCCTTCCTCAGTGCCTGGAAATGTCAATTTGCCAGCGACAACTTAACTGAGGTCAACTTGACGTTGCTTGGCTCTAAGGAATGCGAAATTCGCCGAAACATCGGCTGTTCGTGAATAAAGAGTAAAATAACACATCCTGTTGAATTAGTTCTTGCACTGATAATGAGCAATCATTGCTTTTTTTAAATATTACGAGACACGCAATATTTCGGTCATTGATGCTCTTCTTTTTTAGTTGCTATGGTATCAATTAAAACTGCTATTTGGTCAACGATTGTTTTCTTTTCCATTTATGCATATTGTTTTGATGTCCTCACTGTTGTGAGAATTGAACACAGTGTAGGTACGTCGTTTTTATAAAGATTGATCGTCTTTATTATCCTTTTTTATGTTCATTGGCGATGGCTCCGTTGTTCACCGATATGTTCAAACTTTATGGTGATTCTCACGAACAGGAATTTCGACTATGTCGTGGGAAAGTGAGTTCACGTAACTTTTATACAATTTTTCACTAGCTTATTTGTGCTTTTTCGTTCATATTTTAGTACAAAGATGATTGATGTTGTTATTTGAGAAGGAAAACTAGTAAATCTCTGTTTCGATGCGTCAACAACTTTATTAGTTAGAAATATTAGCGGCGCTTGTAGCAGAATAACTAGGAGTGCCATTGCAGTGTTTGCATCATTAGTTTGATCCATCGCTTTGGGCAGTCTAAGCCATCTACTCCTCCGGAATAAAAACCATTGGCTTCACACCTCTGTAAGCCCTCGTAAGTTAATGTATAAGCCAAACATGTATTCAGTCATTTCTATCATGTTTAATGGAAGTCGATTGCATGCAACAAGAGATTGACTAACGTCGAACGCTTTATTCTTTGCTTATACCAACTGGGAATTTTTAGTTAGAGAGATCCGTGGGTGTACACTACTTTCATCGGCTTTCGTTCCGTTGATCATCGAGTGACCAAAGTGACCCCCGTCTCCATTTGTCCCTTTCGCGCGTTCCTATACTCTTGTGAGTTCATGGACTTTAATGTGATCGCTGGTCTCTTTGCTGTATGCCTGAAATCTCCTGATAGTCAGTCGCAAACGGCTGTTGTGTCCTAAGTATGGTGGTGTCTCCAATCTTTTATCGTTGATGTTGTTCGGAATATGCAGGCTGTTACTAGAATCGCCCTTTCGATTACGGGTGCGGTAACCCTTGTGATCTTCTGTCCTGCTTAAACGTCAGCGCAGTCAATATTTTTTGAGCTCTTCGTTGGTTGCACAATGTTGTTGAAAGCTTTTCAAGGCATTTCTACTCATTTTAGGGCTAAGCCATTCATCATGTTAAATTCTTCACCCAGATACACATACACGTAGGTGTAGCATTCGCAATTGTTCATCCCGTTGAGGGTGTATGTGGTATTGGCAACAGATCCGTTTCTCATGAACTTCGTCTTCTTGAGACCGAATAAAAGATCATGTCGAAATCAAACAACATTAGCTTGACATTGCAATATCGATATAATTGTCAAAGGGCGATCATGTAACTGCCTCCCATCAGCTTTCTATCCAATGTTTTCCAGATTCAGTTTTCATATGTCCTCTTCAAAAATAGCTGCAAATAATGTTGGCGAAATGTTATTGCTTTTGCGAACCGCTTTCATTATTACATTGTGGTTGTAGAATAGTGAAATTCTAGTTCTGATCTTATGCAAGGCATTAATTATCGCTCTCTCAACTTAGCCGGAGACTCTTTTATTAAGTTGATTAAGGTGGTTACATACAATAAGATTTGTTTTCGTGTGAACGAAGTGCATCGTGCTGTACACTTTTCGAAATTGTGGTTTCTGGCATAGATGTCATTCGCCTAATTTTCTGTCAATTTCGTTGATAAAAACTCGAGTAAAGAATTTGTAGGCCATAAATAGTTTGTAGGTTAGGTATTGGCTCCTAATTTCATGTAGACCTTCCTTTTTGTAGTCATGCTGATTTCCTATTGGCTGAGAATCTTATATTATGGCAGTGAATATCGGAGCCATCGTTGTTTGTAAGGAATGGTGGCAGATTTCCCTATATCCAAGTCCACTACTACCTAGAACCTGCACTCTACCGTTCTTCACTAACGAGACTTGCCTTTTTGAAAGTAAAGAATATTTCATCTGGGAGTTGGAGTGTAATCAACTTACTCTTGTATTTGGCGAGGTTTCGACGATCGTCGCGGATGCTCTTCTCAGTCTCTACATGTTCAACCATTATTGCTCTTTTCTGCTCAAGTTCTCCTTTAATTGCTTCTGTGTAGAGCTCTGCAAGTTTGAACGTAACTTAGTCCACGTATACGGTTTATGCAATAGCACATAAACGTATTAACTCTGGTGTTTTCTGGTGACATAGTAGTTTTAAGAATTCGTTTCTTGAATTCTGTGGTTTTCTTTTATTTTTTCAATAAATTTTGGAACAACAGCGACATTGGTTAGGGAAATCCTTCGGTTTCCCATACTGCTAGGTAATGTACATATTTGAGAAGTTTTGTATATCATGTCCTAAGCAGTTGTGATTCCATTAAGCTTTGATTTGAGTGATCGATTGGTTTAGATTAAATATTTCTAAGTCTCTTAGTGTATTATCTTTGGTTTACCATTTTTGTATCTATTATATCCATGCATTTTTACTTTCTTTTTTGAAGTAGCGATGTTTTTCAGAGCAAACTACTACATTCGTGTGACTTCTACTTCTGTTTGTTTGGTCTCTAAAGAAGGGCATAGTATGGACTGTTATCGCGACCCACATCAATTGATGTATGCTCTCAAATATATGGTAAGAATTTTCCACACTTGGTAATTTTGATAATTTTACGGTCTTTTCAGCTCACCTCTTGTTTGAAGTTGTTGAATTGGCATTCTTCATATTGTTCTCTTTCACATGAACCAGATTAATCTTCTCAATGTTGAAAGTCACTTTTTATTGAGAATGGTATCACTTCAGGGTAGCGGCCACGGAAATTGGGATTCTTCTCATATTCTGACATCGATTGTGATCTTTTAGGCTTGTACGTTTTCGGTGTCGTCTATTTCATCGTTAGGAAAGGCAATGTGGTTTTATCAGCTTCTACACGCAAACATGAATGCAACAGATGAATATGGCCGGCCAGCGCCAACTCTCTACATGTTAAATCCTGACGCAACAATGTGATTTTCAATTTTCAAGAGTTTTTAGTTATTCGCTTACTTGTTCCAGTTGAGATATTAGTCAGAGTTAAGTATGTGAGCGATGCTATAATGTGGAGATCTACATTTAGGCAAAACATGAGAGATAAGATTTGGCCAGACTTGTTTATTTTAGTCCTAAATCGGATTGGGTGTAATTTTTAGGGAAGTCTTCGTACGATTTGGCATCGACTGTGATCCACAGATTCAAGTAAGAAAATTCCAGGGAGCAGCGAAGGTGACTAAAAATATTTATTTGAAAGAGTGTTCTGGGTTCAGCAGACGTAATGAATTCACCCTAGGTTATTAAGCTCAGTTGGTCGTTGAACGATTTGTTCTAGCAGAAATAGTAGGGCACTAAATATTTCTTCCTTATAGCTCAATGAACAGGCCCACGTTCCATTTACAACGCTGAACTACAATCGACTGAAGGGCAGTACGCTGTGTAGGAAGATGGACAATCTTTTTGCTGCATTCAGAGATATCGATGAGTAACTGCCATGTGATTATTGGTACTTGGATACTAAGATGGCCAGTTCTCACTGGTTGTGCGTACCCCAGCATAATTTCCATTTTTCGGAGTTTTGCTGACGTAGCAATTGCGGTTTCCTGGAGTCCCGGGGTCAGCAAGGCCAACGTTTGCCTTAGATTATTGGAACTATAACAAACATTCTTGTTTTCCTTGTTAGTTTCGAGCTTCCATTGTTCTGTCTGTTTTATATACATCTATGCTATACACTACATATAATATTGCAGTTGTTCGTCTGGTGTTTATTTATACTCCAATGCTTTGATTTAGAAAAGCCATGCATTTGATTACTAAGGATCTAGCCAGTTCGAGTTTTTTTTTTACTTCTGCAGCCAGTACTTTTACTCGAAAGGCAATTTTACGGTAGTTTAATGGTCTTTTCGAATTTGTCAAACATGGCGTGGCATCCATGTTAACTACTGTGGTGCTAGATACACTTGAACTGCCTTTTTTCATTGATATAAGGCACCTTATCGTTTTTTTTTATGCGAATCATAGTTGTTGCTTGTCAACTGTATCGCTATTTAGTTGTCCTTCTTTATAAACATTCCACTTTTAACACTGGCTGGAATAAATTTCTTAGTCAGCATTCATTACTTCATTAGTAAAGATGTCGTATTTGAATATTTACTCCTTATTCTATTTAAATATTACAAATATAAAAAACGTTGTTGGAAGTTACTGCCACGACCGACTTTCTATTAACCTCGGCATTGATCAAGTGATTTTCTTCGTATTTTTGTTGAGCAAACGCGAGGTGTTACTATTCTTTGTTCACGATTAAGCTGACGTTTCGGCGGATTTCGCCTTCTTAAGAGCCTGGAAAGGTCAAGTTGATAGCAACTCACCCGGCCAGACGCCTCCATAACCAAATAAAGAAACTCCAAACCAAGATTTCAATCACTTTGAACACAGCTCTGCACACTCACCGCTTTCTATGAGGTTTCCACTAAGTATGTCACGTAGAGACCAACCGCACAGATATCACATGGAAGTATAATGTGCCCCTCACATCAGAAAAGCAGTTTTATATACTGCCCTATATCACGCGTGATAATGAGGCATTCTTCCCTGCGGTTCATTTTCGGATTTCTGGAATTAATCCAGAGTGCCTCGAGAGTTTTTCGCGCCTGTGTTCTTCATTCGCGTGCAAGGATCGTGACACATACTTCGAAGTCGTCGCCGTTATGTCTCTGGGTCCTATGCGTGCCTAGCGGGGTATTTGGTCTATTTTTGCCGGCTAGGTGTTCTTTCATGCGGACACAGAGGGGTCTACCCGTTTCGCCAATGTATTCGTCACCACACGTCTTACAGGAGATCAGATAAACTATACCCGAGCTCATGCAATCACCGTCTCTACCAGTGGGGCAAATTATGCAATTTTGAGTTGCACATAGACGGTCATATAGGCGGTTACGAACTAGCTGGCGCTTAAGATTACTCGGTGGTATTTCAACTACGCTCACCGAAGTTCCGAAGTTGTTGGAAGTCTTTGCTGTGTGAAAATCTTCCTCGGCATTCATATGATGCTCATGGATATCTCTTAACAATGCAGTCACTAAGAAGTGATTGCAGTGGATGTTCTTCGAGTTTCCAGCACTGTCAATAGCTAAAGCAGCAGTCCGATCTTTCCTTCACCAATAATCTGTTATGCATATTTTTGTATAATTCATTTCATTCACAGTGTTAACCTTTTACTTTCTGCATACTATAATTTTTCACGGCAATGTATGATGTGAATTATAACCACAACGTTGTTGAGGCATTCGCAACACTTGGATCAAAAGCCGGATAGAACCACCTTTTTCCCTTTCCTGGAGTTTGCATATTACACACTGCGCCGCAAAGAGGTTAGCATTGTGATTTCAGCTTAACTAGGCACAACGCCGATTTGTGCTCCCCAGATCAATCCCACTGACGGGTAATTGCTGATGGCAGCATTAAGTAGAATAACTAGCTGAGATAAATGCAGAGCAAGGGCCTCCGTGGTGTAGTGTGTCAAGCACCAGGCCCCCTCCCCCGGAAAGGGAAGTCGTGGTTCGATCTGGCCCGGAGTCCAAGTTTTGCGAATATTTCAGCATTACTGTGGTTATAATTCACTTCGTTCGGTTCTAAAGTTCCGATGTACAAGACTTTATATCGCACTGAGGATGCTGAGAGTAAATTGGTTTTAGATATTACATATAAATAAAGCTCTCGGTATTGATCAGCCTTCTGAGGGATGCGCATCGCATTTGACTTCACTAAGCATCCTCAGGGGTGAACGAATGCATATTTGGCCTATGAAATGACTTCCGGTGGCCTTCTATTTTATCGAACCAGTGTTGCTATTGTTCCAAACAAGTTGGGTGCTAATTTGCCGACCCTAGAGTGATGGAAGGTTTAGTTGGCCTCGAGTACGGGATCGGTCCCATGTGTATTGCAGGGCGCCTCTAACCACTGTGCTACGCGGACACTTTATATACAAATCTATGTATATATATGTATATATAGTGTGCATGGTCACAGTTCCATTAGTTTGATTCCATCCCAGACTAGTCAAATCCTTCATCCATCCGTGGTCCGAAGTTTGATATAACATATTTGGAAATTTAGCAAAAGATGACGGCTATCTAGTGAAAGACTGGGAAAGTTTTAGTAGTGCTGTACAAGAAGCTCTCTCTTGTGGAAGTAGACGTCACAGATGGTTTCTGGTATTGCTATGGAACGAAGTAGCCGTTTGAAGTCAGTTGAAAGTCATATTGTACAGATTATATAGTATACTCTAGAGGTATAGACGATAATTGCTTAAGTTCGGTATGGCATACCTGATCCTTCGTGAAACGTGCGAAGGCGAATACGTTGATGATACGGGTGGACCACTCTATGTCCGTATAAAAAGTACCTAGAAGCAAAGCATAACATTAAACCAAATACTCGACTAGGCGCCTGTAGGACCCACACATACATAACGGGGAAAAATTTGAAGTAGAAGTCACCATGTTCACACAGCAAACGAAAACTCGGCTCGTAAGACTTGAAGCGCTTTGAAGAACTCCAAAAATCCAAAAACGAATTGCAGTGTGGACTGCTTCGTTATTACTTCGTTATGTAGTCACACAATATCTCAGACATATTTTAACATGAAAGGGGTGCGTTACCCATCCATGTGAATTTTGTGTGGTTTGTATCTCTTGGGTGGAAGACTCATCATAAAAGAGATAAAAACGTTGATTGCACGAGAAAACTGTTTTATTTCCAATAGGATCGAAATCTAGGTTCCTTGGTGTTTCTACCAAAGTTCTTGACCTATTTGGCTAAGTAAGTCGCAGTTTACTTGGCCTTTTCAGGCTCTGAGGAAGGCGCAATCCGCAGAAACGTCAGCTTTTGGAAAGAGTAAAATAACAGCCTCATGTGTTTTCGTCAAGAAAATAGCGAGTTATTGATTAACGCGGAAGTTAACAGAAAGTCTATCTTGGGAATTTAAAGTCAGAGTTTTTGAATTCGTTTCACAACAATCAACGCCATTGTGTGACGGATACCACATAGAAAATCGTTTCAGTTTGCCAGCGGAATACGGAATGAGCGTCATTACTGAATTATTACATCGGTGGACCTCTATTGGTCAGTGTATAACCCCAGTATGCATTCCGTCACGTATAGGAATGAAATCGAATGCACAGATGCACTCCTCAGGGATTCATCAACACTACGCGCTTTATTTTTTTTATCCTTTATTGTAGAGAACTGCGCTATAACCCATTTCATTGGCCTTTTTGTTGCTTGTCTTCGAAAATTTTCACAGGACAAGTTTTTCGAAGTTTCTTCGTTGTCTCGTCTCAAGCGTCACTTTTCAAGGCCCTACAAAAAAAAAAAGCTTCGCTCATCTGATATTTATGATGTAGTTCAACAGTAATGGAAATTTTCTCACAACTTGATCCTATGGTTGAAGCCGGTCATATGAACGGGTGTGTAGTGTAATGTTTATAAATAGCAACTACTAGCTAAATATCTCCATTAACAAAAAATTTTTGGTGTTTTTCAAAAATGTACAAACATGTGGGACAGAAAGAAAAGACGTTAGAGGTCTTCACTTTCCTCCATAACCGAATTGAGTGGACGGTAGACCACAACCACATCCAATACTTCCGGTACAAAGTGATGGCCACAATGGAAGCGGTTGAAGCTTTGGTAACGGTGGCAGCGTGATTTGTGGCACTACGACCACTGGTGCACCTCTGAACAAAGGAAAGTGATAGGAACACTATCAGAACTAAGCAACTTCTCTGATTTTTAGATTATTACTTATTACATAACAAAAAAATTGTTCAAAGTGGTTTTTAAGTTCTCGTTTGCTTTCGACATTTAACGTCTTTTTCGTATTTAATGACTCTGGACTGAATAAGCTGAGCACTATTGGCGATATCCACAGATCACCCATCTCACCAAATATCAGCGTATTACCACGCCTATTTCATTCCATAACAACTTTCATGAAGTGTCCGCTACAACTTGAAGGCCCTAGGATTTTTAGAATATTATTACTTTTAGTGACAGAATTGTGTTAAGTAAAATGAATGGACACTAACTCTGCGCATCCACATGGGGCAATTGGAAGCGGAGTACACAGGCAACCACCACTGCCGCTGTTAACTAGATGGGCAAAGACGTCACTGAGGAGAAATCCTGAGATAGCAACGAACAATACAACTCGAACCATACCTGGAAAAACTGATAATGTATATTAATCTATAAAGAGGATTTCATTACAGAATATGTTGTTGGCTAAAGGTTTGCACAGAAGGCGTATTTTTTTCCCTAGCACTGCTAGAATATTGAAGACGCAGATCTGTAGAGAAAGTAGTGTGCTTAAAGCCTTAGCCTATTTTATACCCATATCTAACCAACATTATCCAGTCCGCTACGAGTTCGTAGCATTTAGTTCGTATCACTCGGCGAATATAAGTTTTGCTGGCGACGATATCACTGATTGTCGGATCGCTATTATCGTATCTCCTGAATGCATGCTGAACTTCCTGTTTACTTATGGTCATAGTTTTATTTCCATAGATCCCCTTTCATATTGTGGATCTCAGGCCTAATTCACTTGAATGAGGTTACTCATTAGAAGAGTGCTGAGTACTTAGGCTGTTGAGGAGTATGTAGAAAACTGGCTCATGGCCGCCTCATACAAATAACGTTAACATTCTAAGAGAGTACGGTATGGTCATCACTCATATAGTATCCCTACGGTATTACGTGCTATTTGTAGTGCTATATTTCTTCTTTCTTTATAATCCTAACTCTTTCTTGTTTCAATTTACAAATTGTAGGATTTCGTACCTTTTGAGTTGTTGCATGAATACTGGGAAGCATAACATATTAAATGACGTGGCCATTGTAAGAATCCGATGACGAATGTTGTCAACGAGGCATAAGTGCTATCCGTTAGAACTAGCTAAATCAAATGCACTTTTTAGTTAAGTATAGTGGAGTCAAACGAACTAAATTTTGTTATTGTCCACATGATTGCTCTTTGGTGGGAAAGTGCCCCACTATGGGAAACGCTGCAGTGCGCCAAACTCTTATGAATATGTATTCTTTCTTTAATGAGATTACACGAGGTCGATAAACAACTTTTATTCGGCTAACGTTTCAACGTCTTCCTCTTAATCAGAGCTGATGATCCGAGCTGATGATCCACAGCCATTCGTCTTCTCGATGTGGGCTTTTCATTCTCGTATCGATTCGGCTCTTCTTCAGTGGAGTATCTCTCGCAAATGATCGACTTCGAGAGATGCTCCACTGAGTAAGATCCGACTCGATACGAAAACGAGGGTGTCACATTGAGAAGACGAGTTCACCATCGACTCGGATCATCGGCTCTGATGAAGACGAAGACGTCGAAACGTTAGCCGAATAAAAATTGTTTATCAACCTCGTGTAAACTTATCAAAGAAAGAATACATGTTAATTAGTAACACCGAGGTTAAAGGAAGGTCGGTTTTGAAATATTCTTATGAATATATCTTTTTTCGAAGGAAACTTACAAAAGTTTTACGGACATATTTTTGGAGCTGTGCTCCAACCCAGTGGATTGGACTCGATGCGACCAAGAACACCGATCTGGACGACAACGACTCGGTTCATTGTCACTCATAAGAAGGCGAAAGTGCCAAAACATCAGCCACTACGAATTTTTTATAACAATCTCGTCTAAACTTAAGACTATGAGGTGCTATTAAGGATCTCACTATCGCTTATGAATCTGATGTGCATGGTATTGAGAACGAGGGTGAAATAAGCTAAAAGAACAATGACATCTGTTGCTAATTGTTAATTAATTGTAATTCGAGAGTATTAGTAATTAAATGTGCTGAAGTTTAGTGGATCATTCATCACTTAGTATTTAAATGATCCGCTTCGACGAAAAATCAGTTGTAGCTCAGCAAAATTTCCATCTCAGTAATATCTCGTTGATTAAAGATATTTTGACCCTTTCCTGCTGTGGTCTCAAACCCGAAAGGCTTCTCACTTTACTATTAGGTTTGGTTTTCAGACCAACGGAGATTCTTGAGGTTATTCTCAACTAGACTTCCTGATAAGAACGCTGAAGTCCTCGGTTTTAGTGAATCTGCCATGGAGGTGGATGAGGTACAGCTGAACATCGAAGCTAGACAGTAGGAGAGTGTGAATTTATTCACATCATTAATGCTAGTATCCAACTGCTGAGTATAACTTTATCTCAGTACTTACCGCCTACTCTTTTTAACGGCAGAGTATATTGCGAAATATAACTTCAATAATGCTGAGATATTTGCAAAACTTTGGACCGCAGGTGTTTGCGGTGGTGAACGAACGCGCTATTGTCCTTTCTGGGGAGTAACGCGTTCAGTACCACACCATGCGGGTTCTTCGTTTCGCCTGTCTCTCAGCTAGTTCTATCGATCTTTTGCCATCAGCAATCACCTGTCAGCAGGATTGATCTGGAGAGCTGAAATCGGCAACGAACCCAGCTAGGCTGGAGGCTGGTTTACAAGTATCCTCTGAAAATTTCTTGTTTGGCAAATAATCAGTTTAAGTCCGCGCCAATTTTTTCATCACTCTCCAATGCATCCGTTGATTTGAAAAATATTCAAGCACGCGATCTCTGCCATTGTGAATTAGATCTAGTTTTTAAATGTGCACAAGAAATATTTTTACATATTTTCTTTACAAAATGACCCAACGAAATCATTTCAGCTAATAGGGTAACAAATTCGCACAAATGCTAGTTATTAGTTCTCGAGGTTGACTTTCTATTAACCTCGGTATTGACCAAGAAATTTGACTTTTCCAGACTTTGAAGAAGGCAAAATCCGCCGAAGTATCAGATTTTGTAAAAAAAGAATGTAGTGACAATTTCCTATGTGTTTATCAAGAAAGCAACGAACTATTTATTAACATAAAACGATCGACCAACGTCATTGTCGGCTGGAAACAGTACAAGACGTTCGATATGAATTTGATGTGATGTGGACGGAGTGTAGCGTAATGGTTAGAGATGCCCTACGATGCACACGTGATCGTCGGTCCGATGCTGCGTCTAGAGTTCAACAAGCTTTTCACCCCTCGATGGTCAGCAAATTGGTCACAGACTTGTCTGGGAAGATAGTAGCACTAACTTGATTGATTGGTAGGACACCACAAATCATTTTATGGGCCAGATATGCATTAAACCACTTCTAACGATGCTTAGTAAAGTCGAATGTATGGCGCATCTCCTAGGGATTAATCAACTCTGAACGCTTTATTCTTTTCCATTTTATGAATTCGACAACGCAAAGCGACGAGGATTTCTGCCTGGCTGACTACTTACTCAACAAGCTGTCATCGAAGCCCCTTACTCGTTGTCCAGAATGTCGTTGTGTTTCGCGAGAATGCTGGCTGGCGCTTCTGGCTCGACGTTATCGACCTATAGTGCCTGAGGGCATGGCGCGCGCCATTGCGAATCGATGGCGCCTATGATTCGTTCCCTTGACATCCACACTGAGTGTCTATGCTGTTGGCCGTCGTCTCCTAGCTTCACTCTATTGTCATCAGAAATCTTTGTCGTTAGTCTCTCAGCTTTCGGATTTCGACCAAACACCATTAAAAATTCTCATAGAATCTCGACTGCCGTGTTTTGTTACTCTCCATTAGCATTAGCTTTAGTAAGTATGGCAGTAAGAAATGTAAGAACCAGACATGGTGTTCTTCTTCATCTACTGTTATCGTTTATTTATCATCTTGTTCGTGTATTACTTAAAATAACACTTCTCCCATAGAAGCCGAAAACTCAGGTGCAAACCTCCATACCTCATCCGGCATCGTTTCACAGCAGTCATATTCTCCACACCCTCATCCATAACATGTGCATCAATTGACACATAGCGCAGGAGAAAAACTGCTTAATATGTCAATACGAGGAAATTTAGAGAGCAGATGATTGCTTTTTCCGACTGTTTTTATTTTTAGCTTGTTATTTACTGCCTACTTTTTTTTAACGGCAGGGTACATATTGCGAAATATAACTTCAATGATGCTGAGATATTTGCAGTCTCCGGACCGCAGGTGTGTGCGGTGGGGAACGAACGCGCTATTTTCCTTTCCGGGGAATAACGCGTTCACCACCACACCATGCGGGTCCTTTGTTTCACCTGTCTCTCAGCTAGTTCTATCGATCTCTGCCATTTTTATTTTATCAAACAGTATTTGTTAAAATCTAGTAGTGAGTTTTCTCTGATGGATACGTTAATTCATCCACAAACACACGCCATCAATCATTTTTCCCTTGAAAAAAAAAGAAATGAAGGTACATTTATTCTTTGAACTCATTTCCTTTTTTCTTGTTGTTTACAACAGTTTCTAACAATCCGGCGAGAGTTTAAGCATCCTGACTTCAAAGCTCATCAGATTAGAGATAAATTTGGCACGATATTTGTAATTGCTTCGGTATCTTATCTTTTCATCTTAGGATTTCCGGATAAGCAGCTTAAGGATACTTGAATACTTGGGACTCTGTAGATTCCATCTCGAGACGGATAGAGTATAGCTTTCTCAGGTTTTCATCACTAAGACGCCGTCGTTCTTGTCGCTCAGAGAAAATGGTGTGTCGTCTATTACGCGGCATCTTAGAAAATACTAAGAATGATGACAGAGCTTTATTCTAGTCTGCAAGCCTTTCGTGGAATCTTTTACATAGTGCTCAACAAAAAAAGATGACATTAGGTGAGCCGTCAAGCATATAAGATGGTTTGGATTAGTTACCAAACACATAGTGAAACGACAAGTGGAACAGTATATTTCCAAGATCGAGTTTCTACTAGCCTTAACATTTTTCAGTAATTCGCTGTTTCCTTTATAAGAACACACGGAAGGTTGTTATTGAATACTATTTATTTACAAACGCTAACGTTTCGACGGATTTCGACTTTTTTCTGTAGAGGTTTGAAGGTTGATGTTTGCCTGCCTTGATTGCCGTCGAGTTGTCCTTTCCAGGCTCTGAAGAAGGCGAAATTCGCCGAAACATCAGCGTTTGTGAATAAGAGTATAATAAAACCTCGTTTTTATTTCTCAAGAAAGTGGTCAATTAAAATATATGAGAAAATTTACTGTATATCTGACCTATGCAGTATTTTGCTGGAGTCTACCAATGTATCAAGGCAATGTTCTTATCTTTCCAAACTAGTCGAGGAATGC